GACTTGGAATACTTCTTTCTAGCCCCTTCTTGTCTGCAAGGTTTCTTTTGAGAATCAGCTGACAGCTTTATGGGAACTCCTTTGTAGGTAACTGCCTCTTCTTTTCTTGCTGCTTTTAAGATTCTCTCCTTATCTTTAACCTTGGGTAACTTAATTATGATATGCCTTGGTGTGTGCTTCCTTGGGTCCAACTTCTTTAGTACTCTCTGACCTTCCTGGACTTCCTGGAAGTCTGTTTCCTTTGCCAGATTAGGGAAATTCTCCTTCATTATTTTTTCAAAGAAGTTTTCAATTTCTTGGTCTTCTATCCTCCTTCTGGCACCCCTATGATTCAGATGTTGGAATATTTAAAGTTGTTCTGGAGGTTCCTAAGCCTTTCCTCATTTTTTTTTTTTTGAATTCTTGTTTCTTCGTTATGTTCAGGTTAAATGTTTATTTCTTCCCTCTGGTCAAAACCATTGATTTGAGTCCCAGTTTCCTTCCTATCACTGTTGGTTCCTTGTGCATTTTTCTTTAAGTCACTTTTTATAGCCTTCACTCTTTCCTCTATTTTGTGACCATACTCAACCAATTCTGTGAGCATCCTGATTACCAGTGTTTTGAACTGTGTGTCTGATAGGTTGGCTATCTTTACATCGCTTAGTTCTATTTTTTCCTGGAGCTTTGATCTGTTCTTTCATTTGGGCTTTTTTTTTTCTTTTTGTCTCAGTGGGCCTCTTAGGTATTAAGGGGCAGAACTTCAGGTATTCGCCAGGGTGGGGCAACCCACATCTCTGTGGTGTGGAGCTGTAAGTGGGGCAGGGGTTTGGGAGAGAGCAATGCTGCTTGTTGGGCTCCAGGCCAGCTTTCAGTCACTTCCCCAGCCACCCACAAGCAAATTGGGCCCTCCTGGTGCTGATTCCTGGGTGGGTGGGCTTGTGTACCTTTTAGGACCCTGTTGGTCTCTCCAATGAACTCTCCTGTGAGGCTGGGAGTTTCTCCTGCTGCCTCAACCCCTGCAGGTTTTTCCAGTCAGAGGTTTCGAGGCTTTATTTTTCTGTGCTGGATCCCCGGATTGTGCGGTCTGTCTCACTGCCCACTTGTTCCTCCTGGTTTATCTGCATGCAAATGTGGGACTGCCCACTCTGCCAGCTGCCACCTCGCCCAGTCTGAGAGCTGGTGCCTCCAGGTCCTCCAGGCCCCACCTTGCTGCAAGTCCTCTCTGCCTCAGCTGCCTGTCTCCACCCCTCCTACTAGTCTGAATAAATATTTCTTCTTTAACTTCTTGGTTGTCAGACTTCCATACAGTTCGATTTTCTGGCAGTTCTGGTTGTTTTCTGTTTTTAAGTTTGTTGTTGTCCTTTTGGTTGTGGGAGAAGGCAAAGTGCATCTAGCTATGCTTCCATCTTAGCCGGGAGTCTCAGTCCTATCTCTGAGATTTTAAAAATTACCATTTGGAATACATTCTCTTCTGGGTTCCACACATCCTGTTTGCTCCTTTTTTATTTGTTTTGTCTCTTTCAGACTTAAGTATTCAAAAGTTGGTGATGCTAAAATTGGTTGGAAGCTCTGCCTGCAGTGGAAAGACTTATCAGTAGTAGGTTTCAGTATGGACCAATAGGTTAACTGGCTTTCTCAGTGGGGGTCTCCCATCTACCTGACTTCTGATTAGCCTGCCTGGAGAGAAAGTGTTTAACAACCAGGGGATATATGACTAATTGCCATTGTTCTAGGAGACAAAAGAGAAGTTTCCTAGTTTTCCACATAATCTGTCCAATCCCATCCCTCCCCAATTACAGTTTGATTTCTCATTCCTACTCTGTTGTGCTGTGTCCAAGTCCTCTGTAGTTCATCTTGTAATTTCCTGGCCCCATGCTAAGTAGGACAGGGGATGTGAGAACTAATTGTTCCTTGTTTCTGATTTTAACCTACCCTCCATTTCTCAGCCCTCTTCTAAATTTCCTGTAGACTAATTCCTAAGACCACCTGAACTTCTGTGACAGAAATAGGCTTCCTATTTGCATCCTCCTTTGCAGACCCAGGTTTTAGCTCATTCAGTTTTGCCTAATCACTATACATCTTCCAAAATTTTGTTAATTTATTTCTCTTCTTTTCCTGTTCTTTAAAAACTTTTTTAAAAAGATTTTATTTATTTTTAGAGAGATGGGAAGGGAGGGATAATGAAAGGGAGAGAAACATCCATGTGTGAGAGATCACACTGATTGGTTGCTTCTCACACACCCCTAAATGGGAAACCGGGCCCACAACCCAGGCATATGCCCTGACTGGGAATCGAACTGGTAACCTTTAGGTTCACAGGCTAGCACTCAATCCACTGGGCCACACCAGCCAGGGCCTGTTATATTAATTGTGTGTTGTTTATACTTTGTTAAAAACAAACAACAGACCCGAATGGAGTCACCTGTGCTAACTTACATCAAGACTTAATACCCAACCTAACTACAGTGTCAGCTACTCCCAGGAGTAGTATTTTAAACGAATCAACCTGGAATTTCCTGGTGAGCACTAGTGAGATAATCTGCTTGATAAGAATCCTGCCCCGCCCACCCGCCCCCAGCCTGGTGGGAAGTGTCAACTGGCCTGAAATAATGGACTCCTTTAACTTCCTTGTCCCACCATCTTTCTGCCTGTAAAAACCTTCCATTTTGTGTAACTCCTTAGGGTAACTTACTGTTTGTTAGATGGGATGCTGCCAGATTCATGAATCATTCAATAAAGCCAATTAGATTGTTAAACTTATTCAGTTGAGTCTTTGTTTTTCAACAACTTAATTTTTTTTTGTTATTTTAGTTGCATTTCAAGTGTTCAATTCACCATGTTTAATCAGATTATATTAGAGTCTTTTAAAGCCAGGCCCTAAATTTCAAACCTGAAACCAGAAAAGCTGGTGTTTGTGCTTCCTGTCACTACCAGAACCAATAAGCAGAAATAGGGATTAAATCTTTATGGGTGCTTTATTCAGATGGTCAGTGATCTGAGAGGATGGTGGGTTATGTACCCTAACAGACTGTCTTAAACCAATGGTTTAAACCATTTTTAAACCAATCTTTTTTATAAGGAAAAGTGTAGGTAAGGAGTTTGGAATTCAGCGAGAAAGTTATCCAGGCTACCATCATTTCAGTTTCTCAACTGGATGTCCTGAACAGCTTCCAAAATGGTCGTACCTCCATCTCTCCTGTCCCTCTGCTCCCACTCTTACCCCCTTTATCTAGTAATCTTTCAGTACAAATCTGACTAGTAATTTTTCAGTACAAACTAGCCCTTCATAACAACAGACCAAAACTTGGCACTTGCTTCTTGGTACTTTATGCACTTGCTGTATTGATTTGGGCCTTCTACTGGAAAATTTTATTCCTTTTGTTTTCCTGGCTCAAATCTATTCAACTCTCAGGTTTAGTTTAAATATATCTCTTTCTCCAAGGAAAGTATGATTTCTTCTATCCTTTAATTAGATATTCCTGCCACACTATAGTCTAATAAAACACTGGACTTACAATATCATAGCATTTTTCTCACTATTGTGTTTTCATTCTCTTCCAATATAGTAGTTACTGTGAGGACAGAAGTTATGTTGGCTCACTTAATAGTGCACCTTTATTATTTGGTAGGTTTTGAACTCAAAAAGAGTCTGGTGGTGGCTTTGGCTAGAAATAATGAAGATTTATTCAAGGGTTTTATGGTTTGCAAACCATAAGCACAACTAGGTCATACCCAGAGTCATCCACAGAAAAAAGAAAAGCTGAGTTCTTACAGTGAAAAGTACATTTGAGAAGAATCGGTCCGGCATTTAGTCTCTGGACAGGTCCAAGAGATAATCCTCCAGATCAGAGGTCCCCAAACTTTTTGGCACCAGGGACTGGTCTTTCCACGGAAGCGGCGGTGGGGGTGGGTGGCAGGAGCGACAGGTGGTGGAGCTCAGGCGGGGGCAGGGTGGACAAGGAGAGGGGCATGGCGAGGAGGCAGAGCTCTGGCGAGCTTCCCTCCTGCCCGGTTCCTAACAAGCCACTGACTGGTACTGGTCCGTGGCCGGGGCAGAGGAAGTGGGGGTGGTGGACGAGGGTGGCTGGGGACCCCTGCTCTAGATGACTAGTGGTCTGGATAATGGCTGTCAAGTGGCCTAAACATGGGAACATTCTTTCCTTAGTCCAGGGCGTAATCAGAGGGTTACATGAAGGTTTGATGTATATCCAGACATTGACACAAGACTGAAAAGTTCAAAAGTTTAAGTACCCAGGCTAGTTAAATAAAAATGGAACTGTTTCCTCATACCCCCACCTACTTGATTTTAGTAATTCAGAGGCTTGGCTATAGTGACTCTGACTCTTTTATTTCTACACGCTATTCTTCACAGGGAACTCTGCAGTTTGTCTTGAATGAATGACTGAATCCAAATGAATGACCATTCTGTTAGTTGGTAATACTGTGTCCCAGCAGGTTCATTCCTTTCTTCCTCATTACCTCCTTCCATGCCTGATCCTTGTTTTCCCTGTCTCTTCATTCCATTAGCAGTCTCATCCTAACTCCATATTGAGTGTCGGGGCTCTAATTCTCTTCTTTACAGAGAGGACTTTCTCCCCTCCTCCTAACCCCTAACCTTTGAGATACACGGGATCCTACATTTCACGCCAAAGAAAGTAAAGTTTAAAAAAACGCAAATTCATCCCCATTATATTTTTTCCTCAAAAGAAGGTATGTAGAGAAACTAATGAACACTTTTAAGATTCCCTCAAGACAGAGAAACCGCTCAGCGTACTATACCTCCGCAATCTTCCTGGGATCTAACCAACACTTCCTTCTTCCTTCCCCGGAAACGGAAAGAGGAAAGGCCCCAAATCTAGCGTCTCAGGATTAGCTTTCCTCAGGTTTCTTGGCGGGCAGGGCGGCCCGCAGGCCTGCGCCGGGTGGCCAGCAGAGCCTTCGCTCTCGGCCTACGCCGCTTCCTATTGGTTTTCCGGGGCTCCGCCCACTGAGCAGGGCGGGAGATTCGGTGTGTACCAGCAGGCGTCCCATCCCCCGCTAGCCGCGCTGCAGTGTGTTTCCGTGCAACCCTGAGACCTGGGTTCTGCACCTCTTGCGAGATTTTGGCCTTCCCCATCGGGCCGAAGCCGCCTTCCCTCCGCGACCACTCAGCAGGGTAGCATCGGGCAGGCAGGAGGCAGCAGGAGCCGCGCCTGGGGGGCACCTAGCTGTGCGCGGAGTGGCGCGCGTGCAGCTTGCCTCCCTTTCCTGCTTATCTCCAGCCTGTGAGGTGAGGTGCGTCCAGCCCAGCGATCGAGCAGGGGTGACCGTGTCCCGGGCTTCCCCTTGGCACTCGGGGAAGGGTCGCTGTGTCTCCCCTTTTCCTTCCCTGGGCTGTCCCCCCCTAGCCCTGTGGTCCCGAGGATCCCTGGCGGGTGGAGCGCAGACAACTAGTGGTCAATGGTGCGAGGCCCAGACTGAAGTCCGTAAATACTTTGGGTGACAGGCTCCCTTTAGAAAGACAACTTTGGTCGGTCTGTCCATCAGTGGTAGGCCTTCTGTGCAAAGGATGCCTGTTAACAACATGCCTGCTTCCCGACGTAAGGAATCTTGTGATTGCAAAGAGAGAACTGCGAATATCTGAAACGGGGCCCAGGGAAGTAAAAAGTGCCCTGGGGGAGAAGCAGGTACGACGAGCGCTGCGGAGGAAGCGATTTCGTCCCAGAACTACCACTGGAGCGAAACCCTTTGATGTCATCCCAACCTGGAAGCCCCGCAGGAACCTTAATTGAGCAGTCGCTGGGGACAACGCTTGGTTGTAAAGTGTCAATAAGTCGGGCTCTTTTGCTAGAGCTTTTTAAACTAAAAGGATGTTGATGGATCACTTGTCATTTTACAACTGAAATCCTAATGGAACCATCACGGCTTTCCCTAGTTAAATTACAATGTGAAGAAAGAGCGTGGCCCTACAGCTTTGTGTCATGGACCACTTTTATTCAGTGTTTATTCAGCCCTTTTTCTGTCAGATGGGATGTAGAGAACTACAAGAGAGCTGCATGGTTAAGTCGAAGTTAAAAGTAAAAATACCCATAATACGGAACATTTAATTAGCATTTTCATGTGCCAAGCACATGGTCTCATTTCATAATCACAACTTTCTGCAAAGCCGCAGTCACACAGTTATTAGTGTGGAGTTAACATCAGAACCAAAGTTTATCTGACATTAAAATTGGTGCTTAGGTACTAACCTATACCCCCTTTTATAAAAGGATTGTGTTTTTTAAATTTGCAGCCAATGCTTTATTTGCTTTCAGGGGCGAGTGTTGCTGTTTTAACACTCACTTGGTGCTGCTATATTACCTTGTTAACTCCTTGAAAGGAGTCCACTTAAAAAAAAGTAAGTGCTTAAGACAGTGCCTTTTATTGTGATTTGTTGGGTAGAGAGTTTTTTTGTTTTGTTTTGTTTTGTTTTCAGAAATTCTTGAAGAAAAAGCAAGGAAAGGTTTCTTTCAAAGTCTTTGTAGAAATTTCTTCATTTTGATGATTCGATCCTATATAATAGATAATTTAAAAATCTAGAAAGGGGCCCTGGTCCTTGTGGCTCTCTAGGTTGGGGAGTCATCCTGTAAATCAGAAGGTTGTGGGTTGGCTTCCAGTCAGGGCACATTCGGTTTTGTCCTGGGGGGAGCCCCCGCCCCCGCCCCCCGCCCGTACTGGAGGTCTCTGCTCCTGACATCTAGGAGCCTAGGAGAGGCAGCCTATTGACGTCTCTCTTAAGAAAACAAACAAAAAACTAGAAAAGGAAATAAGACCAAGTTAGGCTACCTCTGTCCAGACAATTCTTAAGTAAAATGTCATAGGGAAATTGCCTAGGAAAATATTCATTGTCTGGAATATTTGTTTTTAAATTTTACTTGAAAATCTTTTTTTCCCTCCTGATGGAACTACTAAACTTTTGCTAATGAGAATTAATGTACTGGAAATTGACTTTCCTCCATTTTCACTTTGAAAATGCTAGGAAGCTTAAAGCTAAAATTCTTTTTTTTCTAATTTTTACTAATAAATATATTCTGTTTTACAACATAACAGTTTGCCACTGATGAAAATGACAGATATAATACAAGAGTTAATGGGAAGCATTGAAATAGACAAAAAGCCAAAATTCTTTGTATGATTTTATTTTCTGCTTTGCTTTATCTTTTCCCTGATCCAGAACTCCCTATTAGTATTATAGTTTATCATTATTTTATTGCATTTGCTTATTATCACTGCTTCAAATCCTTTATAGAACACAGCAGTATACAGTTTTAAATAATGTACACTATGCTGAATCTGACCATGCTTTTAAAAGTATGCTTGGTAGAACTAGTGATGTTTGACATAATGAACTGGAAACCTAAAGGAGCTCTAGATGTCTTTGGATATTTGTACTGTCCTATGGGAAAGTGATTAAACATATTGTGAATAGTTTTCAGATGTCAAAACAGGCATTTAGGATAACAGATTTTATTTAATGGCAGAAGTGCATGGTTGAACTGAATAATTGGAGAGTTTGTAATTAGGCAAACTTGAGTTTTAGCCCTAATACACTTTCTAATTGTGTGAATTTGAATAATTTAATATTTAACTCAGTTTACTTATCTATAAATAGGGGAAATTATATATATTTTACCTCAGTGAATCTGAGGATTTAATGATCTGGTATACATAAAAATGCCTGAAACAGAACCTGACAAATAGCCCCTCAAAAAGACTTTATTTTATACAAATGTCATGTAGATGTAGTATCCCTTTTCTCTATATACCTGTATTCCCATAAATAAGCACTATTGTGACTACAAAGATAACCCAAAAGGATATATTTTACTGGCAATGGTCATGTTAATTATAAATGAAGTATTGTCATTATATACAAATAGAATCATTGTGAAGATTAAATGAGAATACATATAGAATATTCAGAACTATGTCTAGCATATAGTAAGTACTCATATTTTGGCTTCCTCCCTCTATTCTCTCCCCAATCCAGATCTCAGTTTCTAAAGTTTCCTGGCTAAAATGGTACTGGTTATTTTACCCTTTACTGTAAATAATAACTACCATAACAACTTCAGCTTTGTAAGAATCAATTTATCGATTCATTTTGTTTGTTAAAACTCATGACCTTTGGTTGCTTTGGTTTTCCTATTAGCTGATGCTGAGTTCTTTTTTCAATTACAGGTGGCTCTACCCGAATTTTTGAACTGCAGAATATGCAGTGCCTTTAAAGGTAAATGAAAACTAAGACAAGTCATTTTAAGTGCTAGTTACAACATTAAGTAAGTTATCTGCATGCAGATAGCTGACTCATGAGGGGCACAGTTAGTAGTTCCTCTTGTCAGGAGAAAAGGCAAAAATAGGATTAATAAGAGAAATCATCTTTGGGGGTAAAATGACTAGCTGGCAGCTAGTTAGAATCATCATTAATTTCAGGCTATTTGTATTATAAGTTATGAAGCTAAATTTTGTCAGAGTGGCTAGAGCTGATTAATCTTTTGCCTGCCAAACTCATGCTTGTTTAGTGAAGAACTGACTATAAAGTATTGAAAAGATTTATGCTTACTATTTAATTGCCAAGATACCAAGAAAGCCATATTCATATTTTTAAAGTTGTTTGGTGAGCATGCAGTAATACTAAAGGGAGGTACTTGAGGATTATTTGATCTAGGCTTGGTATACCAGTGAAGTACACAGACTTCTCCAGATGGACTATATCTTTCTAGTGAGCAGAAATTAAAATCCACCAAACCATATTCTTTGTTTGGTTGTACCTTTTCTAAATTCTCATGTATTAACCATTCCCTTTCTGGTAATGTTGTTCTGTAGATTGGTTAGAGCTTTCTGTATAGGCAGAATTATTTTCTTGTCAGTACCATAGGGAATTTTAGTCGCCTTGATTGGATTTGGCTTTTTTCTAATCTGAAACACTCCTTCCTCTTTTTATCAAAAACATTACGTCAATACAATAATGCATAATGTAGTCTTTATAATTAAGAAAACTTTTTTTCTTCAAGAAGACTTTTTAAAATGTTATACATATACATGTATTCATTGTGTGTATGTTTAATTTATTTGGCTGTTGATAGGAATTTTTCATCACTTTTGAGTGCTTTATTCCTTTTGTTTAGGTTAGCAAGGATGAATAAATTGAACTTAAAGGAAGACAAGATGCTGGAGGTTCGGTTCGTGGGAGATGATGATGTTCTTCATCATATTCTTGATAGAGAAGAAGGTAGTAAGTGTTCATACAATCTTTATAATGGTTATGGATTTTTTAAAAAGACTTTATTTGTTTTTAGGGAAAGGAGGGAGAAGAAAGAGGGAAACATTGATTGGTTGCCTCTCATACATGTTCCAATCGGGGACCAAACCTGCAACCCAGGGATGTGTCCTGACCAGGAATTGAACTGGTGACCTTTAGCCTATGTGATGACAACCAATCAACTGAACCACAAAAGTCAGTGCTGGATTATTTCACTTTTTAAAATATCTTAACCTTTTTTGAAAATATAGCAAAGTAGTTGATGTAGTAAGACTCTAAATAAAAACTAATTTTTTGTTCATTCCTTTCAAACTTTATTGAAAATTAAAAATAAGCCTTTTCCAATATGAAATGCTCAATAGTGTTGGTAAATAACTACCCATTGTGATAGAAATGTAGTTATTTTGACCCCTCAAAATACATACTTTCAAGGTTTTTCTATTTTTTTAACTTATATAAGCTGTGGAAGCTTGGATGTGTACTTTAATCAAAGAGAGTACACTGAATTTTGTTCTATCTTTTTGGTAATAACAATGTAAGTAGTGTAATTCATTTACTTATTTAAATGTAATGTTTAGAAAGAATTTATACCTTTCATGTTCTGATTTTTTTGATGTTCTTACAGGAGTTAAATTAAAAAAGGAGCGACCTCAACTTTTGGTCAATACAAAAAAAATAATAAAGAAGCCAGAATATGATTTGGAGGAAGATGGCCAAGAAGGCTTTAAAGATAAGAACTATGTGGCAGTTTTAGGACGAGATGTTCAAGGTACTTGAGGAGGGTGAGGGACTGTATATTTATAAATAGTTAGAATTGCTTTGCAGGATACATAAAAGTAGTCTGTTAACTTAGGCAATGGTGTGCTGTATTATTTTTTCCAGTTTTTCTTTTACTGTAAATATACATAAAAATTTTACCATCTTTAAGAGTACAGTTGAGTTTGTTCACTTGTATTAAATATTGTTGTGCTACCATTACCACCATCCATCTCCAGAACTGTTTTCATGTGGTGTGCTATCCAATAATTTCTCATTAGAAAAGCAGCATTGCTTCAGGTTTTATTCTCTACAATTGAAAAGTTTGGAAGTACTGAGTTTCTACTACAGGTTTGTTCTCTACAGACAACCAGTCCTCTTAATCACTTTTAGAAAGACAGATTGTATAGACTAGAGACTCCAAAGTTATTTTTTAAGATATTTTTACTTTTAGCCAATATGAAATAACTTCATAAAGCCAGTCACTTCACTATTACCATGATCTTCTTTACAGAAAGAGAAGAACATTCCAAGAAATAATGTCATTTTAACCTACCCATGCCAAATTCCTGACAGATTATACTTACAATTCTTTAGGCTTGAAAAACATCGATGTGAAAGAAAAACATCGATCAGTTGCTTCCCACATGTGCCCTGACTGGGGATCAAACTTGCAACCTAGGTATGTGGCCTGACTGAACATGGAACCACAGCCTTTAGGTGCATGGAACAATGTTCAAACCAACTGAGTCACCTGTCCAGGGCAGGCTTGAATTATATTTAATTAGGGCTTAAGGAGCACAGATTTATAATAGGGTGCAAGGAGCACAAGTCTACTGAAGTTGGCTTAAAAAAATAGGGGAGGTCAAGGAACAAAATCAGTATTGTTGGGCTCTAGGAGCATCGGAACTGGTACCAATTAAAAACTGAGACTTTGCTTTTTCATGGGTCTCCTAGTCTCCCTCATGTCTGTGTATCTGTTCTGTTCTCTCTGTGGCCTCTGTTTCCCTCATGTACGTATTTTTTACTCTCTTGTATTTGGCTTATAAATAGCCATTATGACTACTCCTGACTTTTGTTACATCTTAAGTCATTGCTTTTGCTTTTGTTACAAGTGTTAAATGACACGATACAGAAAGTGACCACTGTCCCTTAATAGGCTTAATGGGCAGGTTGGATTCTCTGAAAAGTGTTCCCAAAGGAGAGCTGACATTGTTAAGGCATGTTGTAAGTACAACTTAAGATTCTTGACTACCTACTATGCTAGATCTAGGAATAGATCGAAAGCAGTATTTTTAGAAGTATTTTCTTAAAAATTGTTTTTTATCATCTGTAGTAGAAACTCAGTGCTTCCAACCTTTTTCACCTAATAGCACCAATAGCAAATAATATTTGGAAACATACTAGAACAAATGGAGAATGGCCCAGACCAGGGACAAATGCCCTATGGCTTCTGACCCTTATTCCCACCCAACCTATAGACATCCTCAAAGCCTAATCAGAGCAATACTCAGCTCACCTATAACCCATACCTTTAATTTCTGCAGACTGGTAGGGAAATTTTGCTTTAGACCATTGTTTCTCAACCTCTTTTTTTAAAGAAAAAATGTCATTCTCCAGAGAATGCTTTTAAGTGTTTTCTCCTAATCACCCCCATCCATGAAATTTTAATACTACATATGTGCTGTATATCTCTATGTGCTATGACCTCTGGAGGGCCACAGACTATTATAATATCTAAGATGTTTTTCATACTTCTCCTTGCACCTAGAGCCAGTTTTCATTCCATCAGAAGTAATATTATTCCTGTTGAAAATTCATGCTTTAGAAAACTTGGAATTGTTTAACAATTTGCTGTATATCTTCTCTTTGGTGTGTATCTTCTATCTATATGTACATGCATGTACACATATAAGCTTGTATCAACAGTCTCTCAGTCCAGGAAACGGAGCTGTTCATTTGGCTATGGGCATGTACAGCAGAGGAGCCCATAACTTATAGTTAAATCTTATAGACATGACTCTTCCTGTTTTTTCTTGTTTGCCAAAATGTGTATAGGGGTGGAGAGTGGTGTTTCAGATAAGCTATAAGAAGGAGAGTTTTCTTTCTTTCTTTTTAAAGATTCTATTTATTTATTTAATTTTAGAGAAAGGGGGAAGTGTGGGATAGAGAGAGAGAGAAACATCAATGTGTGAAAGAAACATCCATCAGTTACTTTACATGTACCACTAACCCAGGATCTGGCCCCAGCATAGGCATGTGCCCTGACCAGGAATTAAACTGGGACCTTTTGGTTTGCAGGAACGTCACCCAACTCACTAAGTCATACCAGTCAGGGCAAGGAAACTTTTCTTTTATTATTTTTTCCAGGGAAGGAATGGTGACATCTATCATAGTCTTCTTTAACCTTACTTCAGATACTGAGCAATAAAGCTTCTGTCTTGTCTTTTATTATAAACAGAAAAAAAGTGAGCTTTTAAAAAAATTTTGATTGATTTTACTTATTTTTAAAAACATATAGTTATTATCCATATATAGTTTTTTAAAATATTTTATTTACTTTTAGAAGAGAAGGAAGGAAGAAAGAGAGGGAGAGAAACATCAATGTGCAATACTGTATTTTTTCATGTGTAATGCACACTCTATTGCCCACATTTTTGAGGGAAAAATAAGGATGCATGTTATACATGGGTAGTACCTAAGAAATACCTTATATCTATTCTTATGTTTTGTAATTATTTGTTACATAAAATATGTTCAACAATAAATGCTAAAATTCCTTTATAACATAAAAAACAAGTATCTAAATATAAATACATAAATAATTTAATTAAAAAATTAAAATGAAAGTTTGTTTTCTTGAAAGTTTGGGCAAAAAAAGCAGGTGTGCATTATACACAAGAGCACATTATACATGGCAAAATATGGTACATTGACTGGTTGCCTCTCGCACACCCCCAAATGGGGACCACAATCCAGGCCTGTGCCCTGACTGGGAATTGACCCAGCAACCTTTGGGTTCAGAGCTGGCACTCAAGTTTTGTATGTACATAAATACATATAATGTAAAGCCCTCTTGTCCAGTGTGATTAGAACCATTGTTAGTTGGTCAGTCAATCAAAATGTCAGAATCAGGAAATCATAAAAATAATTTATTTCCAAAAGAAATTAGTGCAGAGGGCATTGTTTTACATTTTTGCAAATCTCTTCAATGTCTTAGTAGAAGACAGCTGGATTTTCCTATCTGCTTCTTCACATTCCAGTAGCCAACAGGGTGGTGATGTCATCATACACCTTGTAGTCTCTGGAATACCTCACTATACACCCTTGACTGAGAGTCAGAAAGTCAAATTATGTTTGTGTTATTAAGAGAGAGTTTTGGCCTGAAGGACACCTCAGAGACCTTTCAGACCACACTTTGAGAACTGCTGTGCTAAAGAGCAGGCTACTAGCCGTGAGTGTCCAGTACGTTGTAGGTAGCAGCTGGGACTAAAAAGGAAGATTGAGAAATGAAATAACTCAGGGTCTTGAGAGTAAGAGCTTTTACCATGTACCAACTGTGCCTAAATTCAACCTCAATTAGCAATTGTTCTTTGCATCTTTGCTTCAGGAAGGAAATATAACTAATAAAGTCATTTCTGTGCTTCCTCCACAGGGGCAGCTACTATCATGAATTGAATACATAGCCCTCTAGTGTGGAGGGTTTTTGTAGTGGGCTTTTAAAAACAAATTTTATATATGTATATATTTTTGTGTATCTGTGAATAAATTTTTTGTTTTTTAAAATTTATATAAACAGTATCATAGTCTGTTGTGTATTTAAAAATACTTTATGTATAAATATGTATTGATTTTTTTCCGGTTAATTCTGTTTTTTCTAAATGCATATTGTATTTTCTCTTTCAGAATCTTTGAAAAATGGCTCTACTACCGTCAGTGGGAATAAAGTTTATTCTTTTCAGAGTAGAAAGCACCCTGAAAAGATGGCTAAATTAGGTATGTTAATTTTCTGATTTCTGTGATTGTTATTCACCTAAAGAAGGTATCTTTAACCACATTCCCAATTACATTCCCTAGAATGATGAAGGATGTCATTTCATATATTATCAAGCGTACTTAAAGTCAGTAGTTTTTGTTTCTCCATGCTCAGATGTCTTCTGTTTTCAGCTAGGTTAGAAGTTTCTCATAGTAGGAACCCTGTTTTCCTTTTCTGCCCACAGTATCTTATATAGGTTCTTAACAAGTTTTTGTTAAGTAAATGAGTGACTTAAGTCACAAAGGTATGTTCTGAAATTATTGCACAAGAATTTTATACTATATATAGAAAACTATTTATATAAATTGTTGGGAATGGGCTGTTCTAACATTTTCTTACTCAAGTTACTACTTATACCAACTACACATGAATTACTGATTTTCAGAGAGTTAGACTATAATAAATTACATATAACATTAAAATTAAACTAGTAATTCTTTGAAAAAATTCAGATAGCACTATATTTGGATCCTGTGGTATGAGGGGTTATCACTTTTAAAAGCTTTGAGGAAAGAAAATAACATGTGGAAAGTACTTTGAAAATTAAAGTGGTCTATAAGTATTTGAAGGTTTGGGAATACTAAAAGGTCAGGAGCAATAGAATAATAATTACTACCTGGTAAGAAGGCTTATAACCTATAATTATAAAGCACCAACATATATTTCTTTTTTAAACATATTTAATTTATTTATTTTTAGAGAGGAAAGAGTGAGGGAGAAAGAGAGGGAAAGAAACATCAATGTCAGATCAGAGAGAAACACGGTGGGTTGCCTCCTGTACATGCCCCGGCTGGGGGTCAAACCCACAACCTTTTGGTGTACGAGACTATGCTCCAACCAACTGAGCTACCCAGCCAGGGCAACATATATTTCTTAACTGGTATATTTTTAAGCAATCATTCTAGTCAATGATCATGTAACTGTTCAAGGTCAAATGAAAAGCACTCTTGTTAAGTGTCGACACCGAATAGGAACATATAAGAAGTAATTATAAGACCCGTTTCTGAAAACAATATGATTCAGTCAATTGCAAAAAAAAAAATTCAGTTTTTCTGAAAAGTATAATATCAAATACAATCATTAATTTTGAATAATATTGTGTATGCAATAATTTATACTAATTGATATTTCTTAACTACATTAAGAAAATAAAAGTTTTTTGATCTCTAGAAATGACTGAATTCTGTGTAGGATATCTGAGAAACCAGAGAAGAAATACTAATGTAATTATTAGAGGGAGGATCAGATAGACACCAAGACCAAAAAGAAGCAATAGGACAATGAAGCAGGACAAAGAATGTTGGAGAAAGAGGAGAACTAATAGTGAAAAGAGTGGAACCCCAGAGAAGTAATCAAGTAGAAGTTCTCCAAGTAGATCATCAACATGCACAGAACCGAAATGATATGTGTCATACCGTGGGTGCTGCAGGAAACTTAAATGTTGTTGTGTGCATTTCCATCATCATGCCTGAAAGAAAAATAGTCATGGAAAGATAATTTTCATGTTTTAATATAAAACCAAAATGATCCCAGCTAAGATGCTTTGTACTTCAGGTCTTTTTGTTGACGTGAAGTTTTTTTCAATCCTGTGGATTGGCAGCCTTTTGTCTAAAAATGGTATCAATGTATTGTTCAAGTGTAACGAGAAGGCCAAGGCCTGAGTCTAGGCATACCTACAGGTAGATGGTTGGGGAGGGCGAGGGCAGTGAAAGAGATGGAATAACTACCAACAGGAGCCAGGGGACCAGGATAATGTTACTGAACCGAAATAGAACAGTAATGTCAAAGAAACATTTAAAAAGCTCTAGTGAATGATATAGAGAACCAAGGAGGTTAAGAAACAGAGAAGAAGCCAGTGCTTTTGTGGGGACTCTCATGAGTATCTTGGGTCAGTTTCAAGATTGGAGGATAAAACTGTTTAAAATAGGTTAGAAAGAGTTTGAGTCAGTAAGTGGTTTAATTTACGCAAATTCAACTATATTTTCTCCCATTTTTTTAAAAAAAATGAGAGACATAATAGTAGCAGGCAGGTTTTTGGTTTTGTTTTTTTTTTAAGAATTTATGTAAGTGAAATAAGGCTGCTTTTCTTCTTCATCTATTATTGTCCATTAAGAGGTATTTTATATATTTCTTCTGTTTACAGCTTCAGAACTAGCAAAAACACCAAGAAAAAATGTGTCATTGAATTTGAAGAATGATCCTGAAATTATGATAAACATTCCTCAGTGTAGCAAGGGTAAGATTTTACCTCAGTTCTTTGAAGAGGGTTTTCATTATTGCTTCAGGTTATACAATAGTATGTGACTTTTCTTTCCTTGTCATAAGTACATTTTTCTATCTTTTATTTTCTATTCTGCAAATTCATTCAACAAAATGCAGTTAATACCTGAAACTGTGTGCCTTAGTATACCAATATTTAGCTGTCAATAAATATTTGTGCTGGTTATAGTTGTGCAGATTGATAGGGCCAACTAGAAAGAGGCTTAAATTCCTGTTGTCATTTGCTTGAGGTAGCCACATGTTCATGGAAGATCTGCTTTGGCAAGTAATATTTGATATAATGCTTTGGGGGTTTAAAAGTCTTAACAGTTTGTGGAGAATTGTGGAGCATTTGTTTTCGAGTGACCCATTCTAACTAGGTCGAACATGAGCTTTTAAATAAAGAAAAGGGCTCTTTTTTTTTTTTAATGAATGCTACAGGAATGCAGGACATTGCTGTCACTAATGGGAGTAAAATGTGTAATTAATAGTGACAATTCAGCCTGCAGTGGAGATGCAGTTAATTGAGAATTCAATAATATGTGGTGGCTTCTGAGTAGAAACTGCAGCTTTGCTCGTAATAAAACTAAACTGTGACGAAAAGTGAAGTATTCATAGTAAGTAATGGCTTTTCGTTTCATTCTTTAGGGCATTCAACTTCAGATGAAGTTCAGTCGAAGGTAAGCAATTGACTAAAATAAACAAGCAAAAACTTTAGTGTTATAAAGTAAGACATGATGACAAATATCTATTTCATCTTTTAATTTATATAGTGCTTTATAGTTTACAGGTATTTGCCAATTAAATACCTAACTTACAAATGAAGAATCTGAGGTTCAGAGAGGTGGAGTGACTCGTCTAGGTTCACCTAGCTAGGAGGGACAATAGCTGGGAAATGAAGCCAGGTCTTTAGGACCCCACTGTCGTGCCTCTTTTGTGTCAGAACTATCCCTGGATATTTACAGCTTAGTAGACCTGCCCTGGAAGTTTCATGGTTTTGTTTTGTTTTGCTTGCTTTTATATAAAATATTCTGTTGTTTCTTGGGATTGGTCCCAAGGTCCATTAAGTCTATTAGTCTACCCTTTTAGAATTTACGTTTGAAAATTAAGTTGGCTTTGGTAAATTCATACTAGAGTAGATTAAAGGAATTGACAATTTTTATTTTCTCCTCTGTGTTTTTGTGGTTTTATTTTTTTCATTATGCCTTGCCCAGTGGCCCCACCTGAATATGGGCAAGCCCAGATGGGCAAGGACAAATCCATGATGATGAGTATGTGAGTGGCTAGTGTGTCAGGTCTGGGAGGCTATAGATTTAGACGTGCCTGGACTTGTGTACAGGCTAAATTCACACCTTTTATAAGAACGTGGATATTCAGCCCTGGCTGGTATGGCTAACTTAGTTGGAGCATTGGCCTGTAAACTGGAAGGTCTCAGGTTTGATTCCAGTCAGGATATATGCCTAGGTTGCAAGTTGGGTCCTCGTTAGGGGCACTAATGAGATGAAACCAATTGATGTTTCTCTCCCTCTTTCTCGCTGCCTTTCCCTCCTTCTAAAAATCAATAAGCATATGCCTTGGGTGAAAATTGGAAAAAAAAAAAAGAGATTATGAGTGAATATTCAGGGCCATGGTTATGGCCTGTGCAGGAATGTCCTGCTTAGTTAGGCAATCCAGGTGTGTAATTAGACATGCCACAGTCTCCTTTGTCTTTAAAAATGCATCTTTCCTGCACTATATCTTGTGTATATTATCACTACAAAAGAATAAAACTCATTTCCATAATCCAACCAATAATTTAGATATATTAGCAAATTATTTTTTTAAGTTGTGGATCATTAACACATTAGTGGATCATGTCAATTCTCCAAGCGACCATCAGAAAACCTGTTAATAAAATATTACACCTACCACAGTAAGAGACAACATCACTATGACAGAGTCTTAGGGCAGTGTCTTAGATGGGGGAGTTCAGGGGCAAATATGTGTAAGTCTTGAGGAGACCTGGACTCAGGGGGCTTAAGACACATCTATCAAAATGGGGGACTGATCTATATCAGACAAAATTCATGACATGATATTTGAGGATTGGTGGACACAGGGAGGAGGAAGTCTTGAACTAGGTCTTGAGAAGTAAACTACTCTTTGACAGACAAAGTCTTTACCCTGGTGAGTAATCTGTTGTCCTGATGGGAGAACAGGTTGCCCAAATGAACAAACTGTTAGGAAACAGTTATTTTGACGCAGGTATTCTCAGACTTGATAATTAAAGTATGTGGATGGAGACTGCCTCAACTCTTGATCTTAAAATTAATTTAGTAGGACATGATGTGCAGTTTAAAAAATGAAATAGAATAACAGAAATTTTCTATTTTGTAAGTATTATAATTATCTTAGTTAAATATACACATATGTACCGGATCAACATAGCAAAAAAATTTTTTTTTGAGGATGTAGATCACAAAGGTTTTTTTTTTTTTTTTAAGATTTTATCTATTTATTTTTAGGGAGAGAGGAAGGGAGGGAGAGAAAGGGAGAGAAACATCAATCAGCCGCTTCTCGCATGCCCCCAACCGGGGGACCTGGCCTGAAACCCAGGCATGTGCCCTGACTGTAAATCAAACCAGGGACCTTTCAGTTTGCAGGATGATGCCTTCACAGTGAGGGTATAGATCAAAAAAAGTTGAAATGTACTATACTTCATAAATCCATTGGAACAAACTCACTTACTGTAGTACTACTATTATTATTATTATTATTAATGTTTATTTATGGATTTTTTAGAGAAAGGGGGAAAGAGAGAAACATTGATTTGTTCCTAACCTTATTTATACATTCCTTAACCTGTTATAACCTTATTTATGCTTGATTCTTGTATGTGCCCTGACCGGGGATTGAGCCTGCAACCTTGGCGTATTGGGACAATGCTCTAAGCAACTGAGCTACTCGGCCAGGGCTATAGTACATTATTGATATCCCAAATAAAAATTTATTAACATTTGTAACTAGCACCAACAACCTATCACAAAACAGAAGACTTAAATTTTTTTTTTAAGATTTTATTTATTTTTAGAGAGGGAAGGGAGGGAGAGAGAGAGAGAAACATCAATGTGCCGTTGCTGGGGGTCATGGCCTGCAACCCAGGCATGTACCCTGACTGGGAATTGAACCTGTGACACTAGAAGACTTACATTTTTTGTCATATTTTTATCTTGACCCAAAACAAAGGTACTTTATCTTTTTATCAGTACCATTAAAAATTAACATGTAAACAACAGTGGGCATTTGAATGGGTTAGTATTGTAATGGTGTTAAAATGTTAAATTCTCTGAAAAAAAATACTTTATACTTTTGTAAAGTGCTTAAAAATTTAAAAATACAAAAGCAAAAAGTATGAATCTCTGCTTTTTTCCTCACAGAATGTCATGCTTTAACACCAGTAAATTTCCACCATATTAAAAGGCCCATTGCCATATGCACAGGAGTGCCCATTTCCTTGTGTATTCATCAGTAGTGGACATTAATACATTTTTAAAAATAGTCTGCTAATCTAGTGGGTGAAAAGTGATTTAAAACACTAATATACTTATGTTTTTTCTTTACGTAACAATAAAAGTACATATATACTTTACAGATGTCTGGAATACAATTTACAGAATCACTCTAGCAATCCTTTGGAGTTTGTTATATCATTTTTGGGTTTTTTTTCCCCAACCAGTGTGTTTGTCATTGTCTTCTAGTTCTGGGAAGTATTTCTAATGTGGCCTATTGAAAACAAAATATTTTTCTTCTTTTCTAGCCTCTTTCATTCAGATCTATCATTAATTTCCATGTCATCATTATTTTTTGACCAAACTATATTGCTTTTTTTATGTTTAAACAGGACAGCGATAAAAGTGAATTTCTGTCAACAGCACCTCGTGTTCTAAGGAAAAGATTACTAGGTATGTATTTCTTTTTACACTGAGTTTTTATAAAAAGAGGCATCTAAAAAAGGGCAGTGATGGTTAAGTATACAGGTTCTAGTCTTAGACTGCTTGCTTTTTATCTTTGGCCAGTCATTTATTAGACGCTTCTTTATTCCTCAGTTTTTTAATTTGCAAAATAGATAGAATAATGGTACCAGCCCCAGAGTTGTTTTGAAATTACTTGAAATAAAGGATGTTCAAAGTGCTTAGTGTAGTGCTTGACTTTGATATGTGCTTAACAGGTGTTAGCTATTATTACCTTTTAATCTTATAACTACTGATTTCTATTTTCATGAAAGGCAAGATATGTTCATATTCCCAATTAAACTGTAGATTCCTTAAGGGCAAGGACTATATCTTATATTTTTTACTCCAACACTTAGCATTGTATCTTTCACACTATAGTCAGTGGGTATTGAGTTTAGTTAAAATGTTTCTCTAATAAAATAACAAGACTTAGTTTGTTTTGGAAGTATTTCTGTTAATTTATTTAGAAATTTTATAGTGAAATAGTGTTAAATAGTCATAGTTGTATGGAATGCTTTACCCAGCCAAGTAAACAGACATGGGTCCTACCTTCTGGAAAATTAAAGGTGGTTTTTGATTTTTAAATATTTAACTTTGAGGTAAATGATTTATTTACCTTTATATTTCAGAAAGATGTCAGCTTCCTCCTTGGGGTTTACTTCTTGACAATAATATTAACTAATGTCAAATTCATGCTGTACCCCTTTCTTCTCAAAGTATAGATTTCATAGAGCTACTATTACTATTGTATTTTTAATCAACATAAAAATGGCAGTACTAAGTGACTGGATATCTGAGGCAATAAAAGATGATATGTGCAACTGTGATTGTTATTATTTTGTGTCAAATATATCTCAGGTCTTATGTTTTCTCCTTACCCCACATAAGAATCCTTTTTAGAGAAAAGATGAATTTCCTCTTCTATCTCAGTCATCAGCACCGAATCCATATACTTACATGTATGGTGTGGATCTGCTATAGATGAAGCAGAGACATTTTCTGGTAGCTCCTACCACTTCTAACCCATGTGTCTACCATGGGCAGCAGCAATCTTTGCAGATCTGAATCTGCTCAGCTGTATATGCCCACAGAGTCAAGCCTTTATCCCCCTCTTTTAATATCTGTATTTGTTATATGCTGACTCTGGACATTATGAAATATATCTATTGTTCAAAATAAATATACTGATTTGGTTAAAGTTATTCATATTTTTGAAAACTATTTATAATAGTTTTATACTTTGTTGAATGTAAAACTTGTTTTCCTGACTTTATGAGTGTAAAACTAGCTTTATTTGGGGGAAGAGGGGACTTCTATAGTTTATTTTAAAATGTTATTGTATCAATTCTGGAATAGAGTATACCTGTGTATCAGTAGTACTTATAATGGTAACTACCATGTATTGGGTGTGGTATCACTTAAGATGACATTTTCAGTAGGCAGCTTAAACCATAGACATTTAATTATTTCACATCATAAGAAGCCTAGGGATATAGAGTTCCATCATGTAGTGACTCAACAGTGTCATGAAGGACCCAAGTTCTTCCTATCTTTTTGCTTTGTCACCAGCATTTTTCATTGTTAGGTTTGATACTTCATATTGCAGAATGGCTTCCTTAGTTTTAAGCTATTGATATAAACGAGGGGCTTTCCTTCTTTAAGCAAGGTGAGTCTTTCTCAGAGGCTTGCAGCAAATTTCCTCTCAAGTTTCATTGGTCAAAGGGTTACATAGCCAACCCTAGCTGCAAAGAAGTCTGAGAAAGCAAGTATCTGACAAAGGAAAGGACCATGATTATTTATCCCTTCGGGTGGAACACATTGCCACATTTTGCGAAAGTGGAGTTCTACTAGCAAGGAAGAAGGAAAGAGGTATTGGGTATGATTGACAGTTTCTGTGTGCCAGGAATTGGTAGTAGTTCTACATACACTTTACTGTAATCTTCACAACAGTCTATTAAATTAGGCACTATTAGCCTCATTTGATAATTGAGGAAACCAGTGCTCTGAAAACTTATGTAACTAGCTCTGGTGAAATTGTCAGCAAGGAATGATAAAACCAGAAGTCAAATGCCCTTACTTCAAAGCCCACGTTCTTTTTATTACCTCATAATGCCTCTTGTGTCAAACTGTCAAATTTTCCCAATTGTTTTTCCCACCACAGTCCCAAGGTCTCATTCTGAGAGTGAAAGTGAATATTCTGCTTCCAACTCGGAGGATGATGAAGGGGTTGCACAAGATGAAGAGGACACTAATACAGTTATGTTGAGCTCAAAGATTCAAGCTCAGAATAGAGTTTCAGCTCCTGTTTGCAAAGAAACACCTTCTAAGAAAATGAAAAGAGATGAAACAGTAAGTGAAGAGAGAGACTTAAACCTTCAAGAAAAATTGTGTAGTATCTCAAAGATATGGTACCCTAAGAGAAGAGATCCAAATGGGGAAATCAGCATAATTGTTTTTCTTCATTTTTCTATATTTTGTCAGCCTCTCACATTAATTCCCATATATGTTATTTTCTGGACTTTCTGTCTTGGCCATCTGTTTATGTAATAATACTATAATATATGCTGAAGGTGATATTTCAATTCAGTGTGTAAAAATGAGATTCTAATATAAAAATACATTGACTGGATAATTGGGGGCAAGACTTCTCAGTGTATACCTTCTTATGTAGTTTTATTTTTGTAACGTTGATGTATTCAAGTCATAAATAATGTGGCAATGGATCCATACAACTCATGCTGAGTTGTGTGGAAGAACACCTTAGACACTATGACTGGAGAAAAGGCTAATTATCCTGGCATTCTGTGAAAAGATTCAGAGCAGTCTGGGAAGCATGCTACTTGAATGGCTTCTCATCCCTTCCGAACTACTGTGGAGGTTATCCCTGCCCTGCATCAGTGGAACAAGTGTAAGCCATTTTATTGGATTAATAGTAAGCAAGTCTTTTTTTTTTTACCTTGCTGTTGATATCCTCCTCATTTTCACAGTACTTCAACTGTACTAATATTAAAAGATTTGCTCAGACTGTGAGGCAAGATAAAGGTTCTGATACATAAAGTCCCCCTGTTTTAAGTCTAAATGGAAATTATATGTTGAGACTTGGGGATTATTTTGGAGAATAGACTATTCAATCTAGTCATTTCTCTAACTTTTATGATCTTAAGAGTTACTCAGTTTTCTCACTACAATAAAATCCACTTAGTCCAAAATCTGTTATTGCTTTAAATAGAAAGTAGTGACTGACCCCAAAAGAAGCATTACACATATTTTCCACTAATACTACTGTCTAGTTTTGATATGAAAGAAATATCTGAAACTAAGAACTGACTTTGTATTTTCAGACTGACTTAGAAGAATATTTTGAAGCGCACAGCAGTTCCAAAGTTTTAACCTCTGATAGAACACTACAGAAACTAAAGAGAACTAAACTGGATCAGGTAGGTTGCAAGGAATGTTACTTCTTCAATTTTTCTTATTGTAAGCTGAAAATTATACTATATAAGTACCAAATTTAAAGAGTAAGTGCACATAAGCAGAATTATTGTCCTGATCAAATGAAACACAAATTAATGTGACATAACTTGCATATTTTATTATATTAATACTGAATGACTCACTGGATTAGAAATCTATTTGGCATACTATAATTATATACTTTTTCCCCTTTATTATTTCTTCAGGATCTATAATAATCATTAGGGTCATAGTTTATTTGATATCCATGTACCATTAATCCCTGTTATTCATTTAACCCACATATTTATTGAACCTCACACTAATCATAAAATAAGTGATCTGACTCTCAGTTACAAACCTAGCAAAAAGCAAGAAGGTATTTTGCTTCTTGCTATTATGGAAACCATGCTCAATGCAGTAATGTGACAAGTTACTATATACTAATGGTTCCATTTTCTCATTTTATTGGAAATACCATATTGTGACAATTGTTGAGGTTTTGACTGATACCTCTTCAACAGAGAAAAAATCTTTCAAAGTGGTGTTGATAATCTAAGAATAAAGAAATTATTATTGGCTCAAAGAGTATTAAGATTTATTATTCTCTGCAAGCTAGATTGTAGTGTAATTTTCTAAGGTATAAAGAGATTTGACAAGAGTTTTCAATCTATAGAAAAGTCTCTGTGACTTGGATGACATGGTGCTGTGCAGTTGGTTTTGTTTTGCCATCTGGCCTGTTGGTATGGAGACTTAGATCAGGGAGTAGCTGAAGCCAAATGGTATCAAGGAAGTGACTGCACTAACATCTGTTTAGTGCATATATTTTTATACAGGGGTGGGCAAAAGTTGTTCATAATAAATAATACAATAATTAATAATAATACAAGAGTAAGCTGTTTTGCATACTCAGAACTATAAACCTACTTTTGTCCACCCTATGTACAACATAAGTAATATAGGAGAAGGATAAATAGGTCTAGGGTCAGAGGAGGGCTACATGGGACCTGGAGGCTGAAAGACCTCTAGGAGGGTGAAAGAAACACCTGTTACCAATAGCGAGGAAAGGGAAGGTCTTTAAGTTATTGTGGACATAGCTAAGCAGTGCAATCTCGGTAGCATGTGTCAGTAAGCATTTATTTCTCATGTCTGGTGGGTCAGCTGGGGGTTGGCTAATCTAGCATTTGCTCCATATATTTTTATCTTCCTCCTTGGATTAGCAGGCTAGCTGAGGCATGTTCTTTTCATGATAATGTTAGAGAGGTAAGAGAAGTGGAAAAACATAAGCTTCAGTGTGAAACTGGCTCAGTGTCACTTCTGCCTTATTCTGGTGACCACAGCAAATCACATGGGTGAGATGCAAAGTCAAAGAGCAGAGAACTAGACTCCACTTCTTTAGTGGGAGGGACTGCAAAGTCACATGGCAAAGGGAATGGTTATAGAGAGGGGGAAAGTTTGGAGACCAATAATGTGATTCTCTACAGATACTAAAATTTGAAATGAAAGTTCACAGATGAGATAACATTCCAGAATTCACACTCAAGTGTCAGCTCTGATAATCCATAATAAGTGGAGATTTTAAAAAATATTTTAAGGATTATGATTTTATTTTTTAAAGATTTTATTTATTTTAGAGAGATGGGAAGGAAGGGAGAGAGAGAAGAAGAGAAACTCAATGTATGATTGCCTCTCATGTGCCCGCTGATGGGGACCTGGCTTGCAACCCAGGCATGTGCCCCAACTGGGAATCAAACCGATGACCCTTTGGTTCCCAGGCCGGCACTCAATCCACTGAACCACACCAGCCAGAGCTGGAAATTTTTCAGGGCTCTAAATTTCAGAAGGAATGAGAGAAAATTTTTTTAACTACTTAACAGTTTTTCTTAAAATATCCTGTTTCTCTTTAAGTATATGGTTAAATAAAAACTGTATAGGCCAGAGTGCCTGGAATGTTGATTACAGTTCTAGTCTTCAGTGTTAAAAGAATGTTTTACTTAGAAGGTAGAATCTTGAAAACATGGTAGTGCCTGGGTAAACATGCACTTAAGGCTTTTTGCCAGAGTTTCTATTTCAAAAAATGAGCTGATTCACTAGCATGAATTTCCAAGTTTTGAATGCAGGGCAATATATCTTCCTCAATTTATTTACATTATTGTTTAAAAAGCTATGAGACACTTATCAAAGTTAAAGAATTTGTTAGGAATAGCTTTTGGAACAGGAGCAGTGATAAAAGTTTATTTTACTACTAATAATGGTAAATTATAAAGAAACTTTAATGTTTTCTGAGAATCAATGTTGAACTGTTACCTTAAGCTTTTAGATTGTTTCAGATTCATAGGTTTTTAAAACCCTAGATTTGTTGTCAAAGCTGGGAAGCAGGTTTAATTATCTCTTTATGGTAATGATCTTTTTAGAAATTAAAGCCTTATATTTCAAATTTATAATTATATAAATGGTTCCAGAAAAAATTTTAGCAAATTCTTCACTGCTATCACATGTTTGAACCAAAAAGAATGTTAAAAACTTTAAGAAAACAAATATTTAAATCATATTTGAAACATTATGGGTATTTAGTTGATGCACTCATTACCAAACTAATGGCCTTTTCAAACTCCACCTGTAAGGAAATATTTTTAGTTTGGATTGATTTGATATATGTGGCTTGAAAGTAATTTTCTTCCCTCTCTCTTCCCTTTGTTTTTTTAAAGCAAACTTTGCGTAATTTATTGAGTAAGGTTTCCCCTACCTTTTCTGCTGAACTCAAACAACTAAATCAACAATATGAACAATTATTTCATAAATGGATGTTGCAGTTACAGTAAGTACTGTCATCATTGCAACCCCTTGTAAAATAAAGAATAATATATATGCGTTATTATCAAAGTAATATAACATTTAATTTTCTTTTTGCAACAAATGATAAATATTTTTATTCATGTATAGAATTTGAAAACGTAGGTGTTCTTTTCAATTTTATGATGCACATGTAGAAATGTTATTATGTGGCTCTTAGATATTCTCATTTTCGAGAACTTTGTCTTTTCTAAGTTTAACACATGTGAAAGCCTTTTGTAAGATAAATAGCCTTTCTGAAAATTATAGGTTATTATTCATAAAAATATTTAAACATCTAATTTTTCAGGATATATCAGTTATATTTTAATCCAGTTCTTCATAGTAAAGTTCCTAAAATGAAAGAATATGTATTTCTATTTTAATCTCATTCTATATACATACTGTAGACCTTCAGAATTTGGTGAGATCTGTCCTTTGAACATTATTTTACTATTTCAAAATTATTTCTTACAATATTTTTTCAATTATATCATTTTTCAGATACCTCATGTTGAATTTTAAATTTTCATTAAAATAGCCCTGGCTGGTGTAGCTCAGTGGATTGAGCATGGGCTGCGAATCAAAGCATCGCAGGTTCGATTCCTAGTCAGAGCACATGCCTAGGTTGCAGGCCAGGTTCCCAGTGGGGGCATGTGAGAGGCAGCCACACATTGATTCTCTTTCTCTCTTCCTCCCTCCCTTCCCCTCTCTAAAAATAAATAAATAAAATCTTAAAAATTTTTTTCATTAAAATACCTAGAAAAATGATTAAAATAAAAAAAAACTATTTTTTAACTATAATTACTTTTATACTTGTGTTTAAAAGGACTTTAGTATAATGAGATTAATAAGAAGGCAGGACCACCAAGCAGTAGGAACATAGAAATTGCCACACTTTTCCCCAATTGATTATGGTGGTTTTTTGTTTTTGTTTTTCCAATAATAGGTCAAAGGGTTATAATAATAAGAAAGTGATTGTCTTCCCTGCTATGGCCTTAGCTCCTCTCAATAACTCTTTGTGGTTTATTATAAATTTCTAAAGCAGTTCTTCACTCTATTCCCATTCCCCAATCCATCAATTCTTCCTTCTTCCAGTATGTCAACTTTAATAACTTGATTTGCTTTGCTTCCTAGCTTGTACCTTATAGTCCACTACTTGCTAGCACTTTGAATTCCCTTACTACTTTTTTTTGCTGCTTCTATCTTGCTAATCTCTACCTTTGGGGTTATCTCTGTTCTGTTCTTCTATTTCTAGGATATCATGCATTGCTATAGAGCATCACATAAATACTGTTTCTGACTGACCTCCATACACAAACATGGAGTTGAACTTCAGTTTGACCTGTAGTGTGCCATATTCTGCATCATCTCATTTTCTGGGCCTCAGTTGCTTTTTGTATGTGAATAACTCACATAACTGTATCTCCAGCCCAGCCCAGCCCAGCCCAGATCTCACTCCCCAAGAGCAGACATGGATATCTGAATACTGGATGCCCTATAAATAACTTGGTGTACATAAAATTTACATTCCCACCCACACCTGCTGTCTCTCACAGTGAATGCCACCCCATGCATGGAAAGATGCCTATGCCAAAAATTGAGTTATTCTTCAGTATTCCCTTTCCCTTGCCTCCCACTTCTAACTACCTTCCAAATCCTATTGATTTGACTTATGAAGCTATTGATACCTTACATTTTTTTTCTTGACACCTAATTCAAGTCATTTTTGTCTCTCCTCCTTATTCATTCCTCCCACTCAGCCACTGTGATCTTTCTAAAAAGATCATGTTATTTTCCTACTTAAAACCTTTCCATTAAAAACTGACTAGGTACTAATAAATGCTCACAGTCCTTGGAATAAAATCTAATTGTTTTAGTTGACTTAACAAGACCTTTGTGACATGGCTCATTTTAATCTATCTTCCCAATTTAATCTGTCAATTAAAACTCTGCTTCAGCCTGTAAAATGTTTTAGTACCTTGTACCAACCATGTTGTCCTTTTACCTCCAGGCACCTGTCACTTAAACGTAATATGAGCTGGAGAGAAAGCTACTAAAATTGGAACTCTAAGCTCCAATTTCATACAGATAATAAAATTGTACTTTCACCTTGTATGAGTTAGGAATCAATATAGTTATTTAGCCTTCTCAGTTCTTCCTGTATTCTTCTATAAGCTTAAATTAAGGAAACTGGGTTAACTATAAAACTGGTGATAAGAGGTACTGAACTTTAATTTCATGAATGCCATCTTTCCTAACAGCCTGGGGTTCAACATTGTGCTTTACGGTTTGGGTTCTAAGAGAGATTTACTGGAACGGTTTCGAGCCACCATGCTGCAAGATTCCATTCATATTGTCATCAATGGTTTCTTTCCTGGAATCAGTGTGAAATCAGTAAGTTTCAAAAATATTAAAAGAAACATCTGTCAATTTATACCCCCATGTTAATGAGGATGCTACTTTTCATTTGCATGTATTCAATATTTGTTTCTAGCCTTCCTACTAGTAGGATTGCAGAATGCCTAAGTTCATGTGCTTGGGCTCAGAAGGTTCTAGCTCTGAATCCCCATCTTTGAATTTCCTGCTTTGTAACTGATACTGTATTAAATCTTAGGGAAAAGTTAGCTTTGTGTACTACACCAAATACCAACAGTACTTTTCTGAAGGACAGGATAATGGGGGACTTGCATAAATTTATTTTATAATGCTTTTATGTCACTTTGCTACTCTAAAAATAATAAAAATATAAGTAATACTTTCTAGTTTTATAACACATCTATAGATCATTTTTACTTCAGATGCTTGTATTTCTTCATCATTCGAAAATCAATATAAATCTTTTGGGTGCTGGATATTTCTTTCCAAAAGTGTTCTTAGTGTTAGTGTACCGTTTTCTTTGGTCTGTAGTTTTCTAATGTTTCTCATATTGTTGGGTTTTGTGGGGGGGATTTTTGTATCCCTCATATATTATCTTTGCATCTTTGCTGTTCCCTGTTTTATTTCTTTTAACCATAACTTATGTAAAAAAATATCAATATAGATATATTTAAGTACCAGAATTTTTAAAGTGATTTTTTCATATTTGGTTAGAAATCCACATTTATTTTTAATTTATAAAAAAGGGTTGATTTGCTGGTTGTATTTATCTTATATGATAGAATAAGTTATAATTGATGTACCTCTTGTGCTTTTATGATATAGATCCTGAATTCTATAACAGAAGAAGTCCTCGATCATACGGGTACTTTCCGCAGTGTGCTGGATCAGCTAGACTGGATAATAAACAAATTTAGAGAAGGTAACATGAAGTAGATGCCCTGGTTTTAGGGTGAAACTAAGCATACACTTCTACTTACTTTTGTATTAACGCATACAAAAATGAGGGTTATTTTAATAATGTCACTTTTCTCAGTACTGATTTAGATTGCTCTGAAATAATTTGTGTTTTCTTTTTATGTGAACTTCACCAGTTAACTAATAGGAAAGAACTATTCCTACTACCTTGAATTTGTACAACCAAAGCTTCTTATTTCAGAATAATTTTCAGGTTTTATTTGGCAGTTGTGAAATGCCTCCAGCTGATTGGTATACTTTGTCTGATATTTTTATATTTAATATTTTTATAAAACATTCTTATTCTGAGTAAATATCACTGCATTTCAATAATTTCATATACTAAAATCTGGAATAAAAAAACATTTTTTATTCTTTTGGTGTGAATGTTCTGGTTATATGAACATTTCAAAAAAATTAGAAATAAAGTTATTTAGGCTCTAACAATGTCATTTAGTCATTGTTTAAGAATTGAAGGCCCTGGCTGGTGTAGCTCAGTGGATTGAGCTCTGACTGCGAACCAAAGCATTGCAGGTTCGATTCCCAGTCAGGACACATGCCTGGGTTGCAGGCCACAGCCCCCAGCAACCGCACATTGATGTTTCTCTCTCTCTTTCTCCCTCCCTTCCCTCTCTAAAAATAAATAAATAAAATCTTTTTAAAAATACTTAAAAAAGAAGAATTGAAAGGAGTGCTTGATTATGCTTAACTCATCATATATGCCCATATACATATAGTATATGTATTATATATGCCATACATGCGATATATGGTATATTTGGTATATATGATATATATTTATAATCACATATAATTATATAATATAAATATAGCATATACTATTTATGTATAATTTATATGTTTACTTATGTATAATTTAAATACTATTGGCTGGTGGCTTCTAGAATTCAAGGAACCTTAGACTTTCAAAATGTGTCATCTCCCCTGTCACTATATTGTCTCTCTTGTTCTATTTCCAGTGTAAGAGGAATTTACTTATTCTCTCCAAAAGACTCATCCTCCAACATAACTGCCAAACGTCCCATTTCTTATCAACCCCTAAGAGACTTACGAATAGCTTTTAAAAATGTAGAGGACTTCTACCTTAAGAAAAAAATTTTACCTTATTGTGCTGCCCTTCCATGCTATTTTATTTGCCTGGTTCAGTATAATTTTAGGGTTTTTGAAGCCGTGTCCTGCCTTCTGCGTTTTATCTATTTCCTTAATTTCTTGCTCCTGTGTTACCTGAACTGTATGCTTGAAGATCACCTATAATTTCCTTCTTACTAAACATGTTGGCCTTGGCTCATCCTTTATCTTGATCTCTGCAGTATTTGGTGGTGTTGACAGTTTCATCCTCCAAATTTTTTTTTTTTTTTTTTTTTTAGTTTTTTTATCCTCACCCAAGGACATTTTTTCATTGCTTTTAGAGAGAGAGAAAGTGAGAGAAGGAGGAAGGTGGGGAGAGAGAGAGACATCGATGTGAGAGAGAAACATTGATTGGTTATTGTTAGCATGGTTGGTGACATGGGCTGTGAAAGAATTCACAAAGACAGAAAGGGTAGAGAGTAAAGTTTTTATTCACTCTCTAAGAATGGAGAGGGGGCATAGTGTGGAGAGATATACCAGCCCAAGTTCTGTTTTTGTTGTTTTTTTTAATAAATTTTATTCATTATGCTATTACAGGTGTCCCAGTTTTTCCCCCTTTGCCCCCGCTGTATCTGGGACCCCCATCCCCTCTGGCAAGACACCCCTCCTTAGTTCATGTCCAGCGGTCAGGCATATAAGTTTTTGGCTATTTCATTTCCTGTACTGTGCTTAACATCTGCCTGTCTCTTCTGTACTTACAACTTTATACTTCTTTTTTTTTTATAAATAAATCTTTTTTTTTAAACGATTTTATTTATTTATTTTTAGAGAGGGAAGGGAGGGAGAGAGAGAGAGAGAGAGAGAGAGAGAGAGAGAGAGAGAGAAACATCAATGTGTGGTTGCTGGGGGTTCTGGCCTGCAACCCAGGAATGTACCCTGGCTGGGAATCGAACCTGGGACACTTTGGTTCCCAGCCCGCGCTCAATCCACTGAGCTACGCCAGCCAGGGTCAACTTTATACTTCTTAATCCCTGCACCTTCCCCCTCATTTTCCCCTTCCCCTACCCAGCAGATAACCCTCCAAAGATCTCCATATCGATGATTCTGTTTCTGTTCTGCTTGTATGCTTACTTTGTATTGTTGGATTCAATTATTAATAGTTGTGAATTTATTGCCATTTTAATGTTCATAGTTTTGATCTTTTTCTAAATAAGTCCCTATAACATTTCATATAATGATGGCTTGGTGATGATGAACTCCTTTAGTTATACCTTGTCTGGGAAGCACTTTATCTACCCTTTGATTCTAAATGATAGCTTTACTCGAGTAATCTTGGTTGTAGGTCTGTGCTTTTCATCACTTTGAATACTTCTTGCCAGTCCCTTCTACCTATAAAGTTTGTTTTGAGAAATCAACACAGTCTTATGGGAACTTCTTTGCAGGTAACTCTCTGCTTTTCTCTTGCTCCTTTTAAGATTCTCTCGTTATCTTTAACCTTTGGAATTTTTTAAAGGTTTTATTTATTTATTTTTAGAGAGAGGGGAAGGGAGGGAGAAAGAGAGGAAGAGAAACATCAATGTGTGGTTGCCTCTCACGTGGCCCCCACTGGGGACCTGGCCCACAACCCAGGCACGTACCCTGACTGGGAATCAAACTGGTGACCTTTTGGTTTGCAGCCCATGCTCAGTCCACTGAGCTACACCAGTCAGGGCTAACCTGTGGCATTTTCATTATGATGTGTTTTTTGGGTCCATCTTGGGTCCATCTTGTTTGGGACTCTCTGTGCTTCCTGGAATTGTATGTCAATTTCCTTTACCAAATTAGGGAAGTTTCTTTCATTATTTTTTCAAATAAGTTTTCAGCTTCTTGTTCTTTCTCTTCCCCTTCCAGCACCCCTATGATTCGAATGTTGATTGTCCCAGAGGCTCTTTAGCCTATCCTTGTTTTTTGAATTCTTTTTTCTCCTTGCTGTTCTGATTGATAGTTTTTTTCTTCCTTATGTTCCAAATCATTGATTTGATTCTTGGCTTCACTCTACTGTTGGTTCCCTGTACATTTTTCTTTATTTCACTTAGTGTAACCTTCATTTCTGCCTGCGTCTTTTTTATGCTGTTGAATACCCGATGAGTTCTTTGAGCATCCTAATAACCATTGTTTTGAACTCTGCATCTGATAGGTTGGTTATCTACATTTTGCTTAGTTCTTTTTCCAGAGTTCTGTTATTTCTTTTGGGCCATATTTCTTATTTTATTTTATTTTATTTTAATTTTATTTTATTTTAATTTTAATTTAATTTTATTTATTTTAATTTTATAGGAGGGGAAGGGAAGGAGAGAGGGAGAGAAACATCAATGTGTGGTTGTGTCTCACACATCCCCTACAGGGGATCTGGCTCACAACCCAGGCATGTGTCTTGACTGGGAATGGAACCAGCAATCTTTTGGTTTGCAGGTCCGCGCTCAATCCACTGAGCTACACCAGCCAGGTGGGCCATATTTCTTTGTCTCCTTGTTTCAGCAGCCTCCCTGTGTTTGTTTCTGTGTATTAAGTAGAGCTGCTTTGACTCCCTGTCTTAATAGCATGGCCTATTGTAGAAAAGCACACTGGCTAGTTGGATGGTGTGGAGCCTTAGGTAATCACCAGAATGGGGCAACCTGTGTGAACCAGGTTGATGGGGTCTCAGATACGGTGTCGCCTCTCTATGGCTCTGTGTGGGAGAGTGCTCAGAAAGGGTCTCTGCTGCTGCCTGGGCTCTTGAGTTTTGTTCTAGAGGAAGCTGTCTCCTGGCACTTGGCCTGATGCAGGACACTTGAATTTCTCCCTGTATGCCAGTGGTGCCCTTCTAGCTGCTGCCCTGGTGGTAAAGTAAAGCTCAAATGGAGTGAGTCTGAGTGAGTCCCAAGTTCATTGTGGGCCTTTTAAGAGGAGACTCCTGAGAATCCTGCAGTTTCTTCTGTCACCCCAACCCCCACTGGTTTTTATAGCCAGAAGTTGTGGGGACTTATCTTCTTGGCACTGAAACCCTGGCTGGGTGGTCTGGTGTGGGGCTTGGATCCCTGGCTCCTGAGGTATCTCTTCACCCATTCTGTGTCTCCACGCCTCCATCCTTCCTCCCTGTCTGGATGAATGTGACTTCCTTAATTCCTTGGTTGTTGAACTTCCATGCAACTTGATATTCTGACGATTCTGGGTGATACTTGTTTTGTAGTCTGGTTGTAATTTTGCTGTGGTTGTGCAAGGTGAGCTGTGTTTACCTATGCCATATCTTGACTAAAGGTCACTGTTCTCACTTTCCTGATTCCTTAAATAATGTCCTAAGCCCTTCTCTTCCCATTTTTTTTGTCTCTTTTGGCTTTTGTGATAATAAGAGTTTTCTAAATTAACTCTTGATTTTTAATGAGAATACTCTGTCTCTTTCTGTGTGTTTCCCTTCCACTTCCACATTGCAATTCAACATGCACAGATTCACCTCCAATCCAATGTGCATCTTAAAAAAAAAAAGATTTTCTTTATTTCTTTTTAGAGAGAGGGGAAGAGAAAAAGAGGGAGAGAAACATCAATGCACAAGATACATTGATTGGTCACCTCTCACACGCCCCCAACTGGGGACCTGGTCTGTATCCCAGGCATGTGCCCTGACCAGAAATGAACCAGCAACCTCTTGGTTCACAGGCTGGTGCTCAGTCCACTGAGCCATACTGGCTAGGGCATCTTGCGTTATTTCCTACGTCTTATTGCAACTGCTTTCTTTGTGGTCTGATTCAAGTGCTAACCATTCCAGTGAAGTCTCTAATCCTTCTAGTCCCTATTGATTTTGGATAAATTTTATTTTTGAAGGCTTTAATAATGTCTTGCCTATTTTATGAATAACTGACATATCTTCTCAAATAAATTGCCTATGCCTATGCAATAGTTACTTTGTCCTGTCATATATTCTTTAATCCATATTGTATGTGGTAGGGAATTCACAAATACTCATTGAAAATGATAATTGAATTCTTCTTACTTTTAGATTCTTCTTTAGAACTCTTCCTTCTCATCCACAATTTGGATAGCCAAATGTTGAGAGGAGACAAAAGCCAGCAAATTATTGGACAGTTGTCATCTTTACGTAACATATACCTTATAGCATCTATTGATCACCTCAATGCTCCTCTTAGTAAGTTAAATATCACTGTTTTTCTTTCCTGAGAGAGCAGTCTTAGAAAATTTTCCTAATGTTGTCATAACATTTTTACCTTTTTTTTAGTACAGTTTTAGTTCTTTTGTTGCATCTTTAAAGATACAGGTTTCCAAAAATCTAGGTGTCTTCAATATGATTTAGAACATTATTGGAAATAAAAATTCAGGTTCTAAAGGAGGTGTTTTACAACTAAAGCTTCATGGAAGAGAGAAGACCCAACTATTATTTTGGTCTTTTCCTGTTCTTTGTGGTATTGCAACATTTGTTTTATGCAATTTAATTCAGAGACTTATTGAACAAAATGTTAAATTATTAAAAAGAATGCCTTGGTAGTGCTAATATATTTTAATTTGTATTTAATATACCAAGGAAGATTAGATGTTGATTGACAATGAAATTAGATTGTCAGGTACTGATTTGGATGGGGAAAATGGCAAAAATGGAAGTTTTCAAGATTTGGTTTTCACTTAATGCTTTCTTATTCTTTCCTAGAGTGGAATTTAGTAACATGACAATATGAAAATAATTAGTAATTTTCTATTTCTTTGATCATGTGCTCTAGTGTGGGATCATGTAAAGCAGAGTCTTTATAACTGGCTCTGGTATGAAACTACTACATACAGTCCTTATACTGAAGAAACCTCCTATGAGAATTCTCTCCTGGTTAAACAGTCTGGATCACTGACACTTAGTTCCCTGACTCATGTCTTACGAAGCCTTACCCCTAATGCAAGGTAAGAATGAAAACTATTGTTTCTTTTTTTAAAAAAAACTATACATTTAAAGACATGTACTATTATGTTTAATGGCAATACTAAAGTTCCTGCTTAGTCTGAAGGATTAAGAGAATAGTAGTCATAATAGTTGCTAGTACTGGATTGTGTAACAGTCAGACTGCTCAGTAGTAGTCATCTGGCAAATTGCCCAGTAATAAGCAGGAGTTGCAACATTTTTTTTCATAATAGATTTTTTTGTATTCTGAATAAGAGCATGTTAGCAGTCATTGTGGAAGAATTTTGATGGACTTTACCTAAATTTGATGGTTATTTTTAATGATACATGAATATTATGGTTCAAACACAGGTTCCTTTACATGAAATAGTTAATTTGATTTTCATAACTGCCACTCTCAGGTAGATATTAGTAAAGGGCACAGAGATTTTGATTGAAATCCTCCTGGCTCTAAAGCTCATGCTTTTAAATACCTTTGTGTGGTGTCTCCAGTGAAGTAATTTCAGCAGCCTAACCAAGAGGTGTATCTGAGTTTATACAATCTAAGAAAAGCTGGATATAGCACAAGCCAGCAAAAAAAAATAAATTGTAAGAAAATTAACCTGTTGAAAGAGGCTTTTAGTAGCAACCTACCCCCCAAAGCATAGAATCCTAGAACTATTTTTAAGCAAATGTTGAGAATAAAGATTTGAATAAATATTATGTTCTTAGATGAGTGGAACAACTGTTATAAAGGTAGCAATTCCTTTCAAGTTAGAAATGTATTAGATCTATAAATTAATCAAATTTTAAGTGATTTCTGTGCTTGGAATTAAAATACAAACATCTTTAGGAATAAGCAGGTGAGACTAGCTAAGCAGGTGAGACTAACAAAGTCTTTTTTTTTCTTTAAAGTGTAATGAGGGAAGTTACAGAATAGTCCCATATATGTAGATTACAGCATAGGTAATACAGTCATTAATATTGTGATAACTTTGTATGGGGCCATGTGGGTACTTGAAGCAGGGGAAGGCCACTCTGTAACACGCCTGATTTTCTAACCACTTCACTACACATCTGAAACTAATACAGAATAATACTGAATGTAACTGAAAAATTAAAAAAAATTTTTTTGAAGAGCAATAAAGGGACACTTGTATACAAGATGGCACAATACTTTCACACTTTAATTCATCTCCTCTTGGGCCAAACACGCTGCATAATAGATTAAATATAAAATAACAAAAATAAAAGATACAGCCTCACTCTGAAATATGAACATCTCCTTTAGGATGGTCAAAAGTAAGTAGGTTTACAGTTGTGAGTATGCTTAACAAAGTTTATTGTATTATTGTTAGGTAGCAGCTAAGAATGAGTGGCCGGAGAGGAAATAAAGCAGGGCCCCCGCTATTACAATCTAATAAAGAACGTAAAACAGGAGGCTAGAAACAAAAGGGAGTCACGTCTCACCTGCTGACCCAGGAGTCCTGAGCTCCGTCTCATAAGATTGCCAGGTGTCCCAAACATCACAAGCAAAACTATGATAGTGCAGGAGGTGGGGAGCCCTTGAAATTCTGTGTGTATCATCTCCACTGGCTGGGAAAGAAAGCCTTTGTAATTGTCCCAAGGCAATTTGCTTAAAAATAGTTCTAGGATTCTATGCTTTGGGGGGTAGGTTGCTACTAAAAGCCTCTTTCAACAGGTTAATTTTCTTACTGTTATTTATTTATTTATTTATTTATGCTGGCTTATGCTATATCCAGCTTTTCTTAGATTGTATAAACTCAGATATACCTCTTGGTCTGGAAGGGAGAAGAGGAGGGGGGACCTAGAAACTGGCTAAAGTATATAACCCCTGAGTCCCAGTAGTTGGCACACTCAGATCAGATAGGTGCCCACTTGTAGCCTGGGGCTGAAGTGTGTAGATAACAAACTTACTAACAACTTTATTTTCTCTGTCTGTGGGACATTCAGATTAGCCGGGTACCTGCTTACAACTTTATGCTCATATATGTTTCCTAAATATACTTGCTATCTTATTTCCACTGTACATGTTTCTCTCACCTGAATTCTCTCTTGTGAACAAGATAAGAACCAAGTACAGGTAGCCCCTGACTCGGGTCTCCTTGGTAACATTATTATGTATTAATTATTATATTATTTTCCATAGAAACCACTCTAAACCTCCTTTTGCCCACTCCTGTGTATATGTGTGTGCACACACACACATAAATAAAAATTTTAAATATAGGTGGATATGAAAAATTCCTAATTTAGAATAGTACTGATCCTAGGAAAGAAGGAAGGGAAATAGATAGGAGACTGGGGTATACAGGAACTTTGAATAGATCTTAGGGGGGGTTTTTTTGTTTTTTTTTGCTAGCAATTTCTTGTCCATTTATTTGTTTTCTTTGCTTTTTAAAAACTTTTTGTTTTGAAATAATTACAGATTTACGGAGGCTGCAAAGAAATGTACAGGGAAGTCCCAGCACCTCTTTCCCAACTGGCCCTCAGGCTGACATGTCACACCAAAGTGTAGTATTAAAACCATGAAACTGACGTTGGCCTGATCCATAGAGCTTGTTTAGATTTCACCACTGATGCATGCTCTCATTTGTGTTTGAGTGGGTGTGCATGCGTGTGTGTTTACTTCCGCAGTTTTATCATGGGTAGCTTTTGACAACTACAACCAGGATCAAGATACTCAACTGTATCATCACAAGTCTCCTTTTATGTTAACCCTCAATGCCAATGAATACTGTTATTTATAAAGCTGTTTTTATTTCCTTGAAATAAGATTAGCATTGTGTTAATACTGAAATAGGTATTAAATGGGTATCTACTCAAATTTTTGATGGAATTAGGAACAGAAAAATCTCTATTCAATTTTACTGTTAGGCTTAGTGCTCATGGACTACTTGCAAGTTGCTATGTATGAAGTTGGGGATCTGTGCAATATAAATACAAGAATAAATACACTACACTAAAGCAAATATTTTTTAATTGGCATACTTAAATATGTGCAAGCCTTCGACACTTTTTTAAAAATATATTTAAACTACTATGAAATTTTGGTTCATTCTGCAAACTCCAGTATCATTTAGTCTTTACTTTGTATGAATGTGAATGATCAAAAATCTTAACCAAATGTAGCTGTGGAGTTAGTGGCAGTACTGTTGACCCTTGAACAACAGGGGTTTGAACCGCACAGGTCCACGGAGTGAGTCTGCACACTCAGACGTTTTTCAATAAATATATAGTAAGCCCTCTGTATCCCCTTGTTTCGCATCCATGGATTCATCAACTGCAGATCAAAAACAGTATTTTTAGTTCATGGTTGGGAATCTGCAGATGCAGAGGACCAACTCTATGGGGTTCTTCCCCATTTCATATGAGGGCACTGAGCATCCTTGGAGTGTGGTATCCGCAGGGCGTCCTGGAGCCAGTCCCCTGGGGATACTGACGGACAACGGCTACTCAAAAGTTATACGTGGATTTTCAACTGCTTGGGTGGTTGGTGCCCCTAATGCCCCCATTATTGTTCCAGGGTCAACTTATAAATTATAAAGTGGTCATTTAGATAATCCAAAATATGCTTATAGTAATTATTTTGTAGATTCTCACAAAAATGAAAACAGAGGTCTAACATTTTTGCTCTACCAAGGACTCCTGGGAATCTTAGTTTGTATAGCACTGCTTCTAACACCATAATTCCACTTGGTCCACTCTCCTACAGGAATAACTCAAAATCAGTGAAAAAGTGAGGTGTAAAATAGCATATATACCATGTATAAATGCATGAATTTATGTATTTTCATCCTACCTCATTCTACAGGTTTCTAAGGTTTTAGGAAGCAGCATACACAAATATCTCCACATCAAATGCTAGTGGTTATTTTAGGGCTATGGAATTGATATTTTCCTCATTAGATTTTATTATATATTCCAAGTTTTCTACAGTGGACTAACCTATTGACTTAAAAAAATAGTCTTAGATTTTCCTTAAAAGGAAGTAAAGAAGCTTTTCCTTTTTATACAGGCCAGTATATGATGTCCCTTGGAGAAAGGAACAGAAGTTAATATAGACAAGCCAAGTGTTTCACGTTCTCTTCATGTATTTTACTACCAGCTGTTATCTTTTGATAATATTTTGTATTTTAATTCCTGTTTGTTTTTTGTTTTTTTCCTTAGGGGGATTTTCAGGCTGCTAATAAAGCATCAGCTGGGTAGCCAGGATAACCCTTCTTACCTTGGTATCCAATATTTATGATATTAAATTGTGTGACTTTTGTTTCACCCCATAAATTCCTTTTTCTGGAATCTAATAATAGCACTGCAGCTTTTCACTGCAGTGAATGGTTTGCTCTGTGATCAGTGTGTGTGCCAATAGCAAATGTTCAAACAGCCCTACAGATGCACTGCTGAGCAGGCTGCTTGTTGATGTGAATTGAAAGGCAGCCCCAGCTTGCTTTTTAAATTTCTTATGCTAATTATGGATATATGTCTAACAATTACTATTTCCTAGATTGGGCATCTTAGCAGATTTTCCTCTCTTTGAGTAAAAATAATGTAAACATTTTAATAATTGTTCAGCTCTCATGGCTTACCAGTTCCCTTTTTAAAAGTCAGTTTTATTTAAAACTGCCCATAGGGTTATGTAATAACTTGATCACAGTTGACTATTTTCAACCAATCAGTTTTGTTTAAAAAATATAAGCCACAGTATTCTTTAGTTTTGCTTTTTCCAGAGGACTTTAAAAAAAAATCAGCTGCAGCCGAGTCAAATTCGGGGCCTGCCGCACCTGTGGCAGGCCCCGGCTCCGCAGGCTGCCACAGAAGCAGTGTGACTCATGGGCCCTGATCCCCTGCTGGGCCTCAGGGATAAATTTAGTCACAGACACCAAAAAAAACAAAAAAACAATACTTAGTCATTGCTTTGAAATACTGTGGCCACAGCACTCTTCTGTGTGCTTTGGTATGGGTATCCATATGCAGGTCATGTCTTAAATGCTGACTTCTGTTCAAATCTCCTTTTGAACCTTTAGGACTTTCTTTTCAAGATTTCTACCAGCAGTGTCGGGAGGCATTCCTTGTCAATAGTGATCTGACACTTCGGGCCCAGTTAACTGAATTTAGGGACCACAAGCTTATAAGAACCAAGAAGGTGAGACTTTGCTACTATGGCACTGTATTCCAGGACTAGCATATCTTGGACAAGCAAGCCTTTGACTGAGATCTGATTATGAAACTGAGGTTCTGTGATGGATCACAAGGGTCCATTCAGGCAGTGTGCCATTTGAGTTCTGTAGAAAGTTGGTTTTAGAGCAAAGCACAAAACCTAAGAGTTCTAGGTCTAGAGTAACAGGTCATTAGAAATATATTATGAGTCAGATCATTCTATTTCCTGCTCCCTCTCTTTATTCTACCCCATTCATTAATCTGGTCTAGTTTTATTGGATACTAACCATATATTTTATATTGCACTAAATATTAGGATATAGTAGTAAGAAAAAAAAACCCGTTTCTCATAGAACTTTAATTCTAGTGGAGATGGATGTGTTCAGTAATCTGACACATGTATAGTTTTATTGTGGTAAGCCCTATGATCAGAAGGTACATGGTTCTGAAAGAGCATATTAAAACAGTTGGATTCAACCCAATTGTGGATATCAGAAGCCCTGAGCTGAGATCTAAAGGCAGACTAAGTTAAAACTAGTCCGACAGGGAAGAGAAGAGCATTCTAGGCAGGAACAGCATGAAAAGAGACCCTGGAAAAAAGGGTGGCCAGCATAGCATAAAATAATCCTGAGAAAGTAGTAATCTAAGGACTAGACCATGTATGATTTTTGGGCCAGGGAAAAGATTTTAATCTTTATTCAACGGTGATGGGAAGACATTAAAAAAATGTTCTGACTCTGGCATCAGAGTGGAATGGGGAGTACCAGGACCAGCAAGGGCGGTGTCAGTGGTCTGGGCGAGATGATGGTAACTTGGACTAGGGTGAAGGGAAAAAAGTGGTTGGATTCAAGGTATACTTAGGAGGCACAATTGACAAGAACTGATGATAGATTGGATATTGGAGCCAAGGGAAAGTATCAAGAGTAATTCCTGGTTTCTGGCGTCCATAACCAGAGAGATGGTGGACTCATTAGATGAGAAACAGGAAGGCAACATTTTAGGGGAAACGCATCATGAGCTCATGATCTTGGTTTGTTTGGACTTAATTATGTTTGAGGTTCCTTCGAGATTTCCAGGTGGAGATGTCAACTAGAGAATTGGATTCCTGGGACAAGAAACCAGAAGAAAGATCTGGGCTACACATACAAGATTATGATTCCCGTGTATTTAGGTTGTGACTGAAACCAGGCACTGGTGCGGCTACCCAGAGAGAAGACATAGTGAGATTAGAGGGCCAGGAACTAGTCTAGAAGTATGACATTTAATGGCCAAGTAAAAGATAACCCTGCAAGCTGAGAGAAACAGCCAGAGTCAGGAAGAAATCCAGGGTATGATATTACAAAAGCCAAGAAAAGCATGTTTTAAGAAAAAAAGAATGGTTAGCAGTGTCAGGTGCTGCTGAGATGACAAAAGAGGACTAAAAATACCTATTGGATTTATGGAATTCCTTGGTGATAAGCCAGTGATTTTCAATGGATGCCATATCTGACTCCTTAGTCAGCGGCATGGCCTTTTTTCCCTTAGGTAGCCAAAAAAGTGACAACTGCCAACACGGCAATAGCCATCAGGTGTGAATGATTCAAAATTATACCCATTTTTTGGTCAGATCAGCAAAAAATATGGTTTTTGGTGTGCAGCAGAACTTTAGTAATTAGTTTATGTGTGCCATGAGATAAATGAAAATCACTGGTCTGAGCAAAAGCTCACTCGGGGATATGAAAATGGTGGCAGTAGCTAGGCCAGACTGGGTTGAGGGAAGAGTGAGGAGATGGAGACTGTCGGCTACTCTTCTGGAAAGCTGCAGAGGTTGAGTGATAACTGGGAAAGAATGAGGAGTCTAGTGAGGGTTACTTAAAAATAGGAGATACCTAAATATATTTTTAAAACCAGTGGGAAAGTTTCAGTTGAAAGCGGAATAAAAGAACAGAAATCAACAGCCTAAGATCTAGAAAGAGCAGGAGGATGAAGAAAATACCCCTTTATTTACCCCCTAGTCTTTTCTACTATGAAGTGGCTTAACCATAAATGTCGTATATTTAAATGGATATATGTCTGTGTGCTCTTTTCCCTTAAATTTTATACATATATATGTACATATATATATATATAGAGAGAGAGAGAGAGTCCATTTTTTTAACCTACAATAGGATTCAAATTTATCTCTTACAGATGACTAACATCCAGGGTATTCTTATATCTTTTAGGGAACTGATGGAGTGGAATATTTATTAATTCCTATCGACAATGGAACATTGACTGATTTCCTGGAAAAGGAAGAGGAGGAGTCTTGAAGCTGTCCTTTATTTTTGAATAGTCTGTGGAAAGGTTGTTACACTCCAGCTGCCACTCCTATAGTCTAAAGTGTTGTGTTTACTTCCAACATCAGACTTTTCCCAGCATGTAAGATTTAAAATTGGGAGAGGGGAATGTCTTGAATTAGAACCTTGCTTAGCCTGGCTGGTGTACCATCTCTAGTACTATGCTATCAGTGGTCCTCAAATTGGAGAAAATGTGCCTTTCATTCGTTACCTCTCTGGAGATTCTTGCTGGAATGGACAGTGTGCTCAGGGACTCTTTGGAACTGGATGTTTTTGAATTCTTTTATACTAGAGATGATATTACTCCTAGTTTTTTGAGGGCCTTTTAACACTCTTGGAGCTGATTGTTTGCAAATGTGCTTGTTCCAGAGTGCGGAAGTACAAAGACATTGGCATCACAGAAATTGCTTTATTTGTTGTTCTTGTGTTGGAACTGACTGGTGAAATGGAGAAGGCAGATCATTTCTGTTTCTGAAATGCCTTAACAAAAGGTGTAAAATTGGGGAAAAGTAGGTGATCCCACTTTCTCCTTTTGGATTTAGGCTGTGTACCGGGGTAGGGGAGGGGACATGACACTGTTCAGCTGGGATAATGGGAAAAACACATATATAAATAGGGCGTATACCCAGCCTAGACAGCACATGAAAAATAATAAAACATGATATTCAGACAGTTAATGTGCCATCACCTTGATACATGTGAGAAACCAGGCTAGAGAAATACATTTCTGAATTACATTTAATCATTATTTTCAACAGAAAATAAAAATTTAATTATTGTATATTGACATTTTTCTTGTCTTGAATAACATGCAGGTAAGTAGCATATTAATGGCTGGCTTTAAATTAACCCTGATTTCTCTATCAAGTACACCTAAAACTCTAAGACTTTTTAAATCATTTCTTTGTACCATGTAACTAATCAATTTTATGTTAAATTTGTATATTAAAGGTTTAATCTTAAATACATTAATCAAAATATTTAAGAATTTTGTACATGAGTAACTCTGAAATATTTTAAATTGTACCAAAGTCTTTTCAATGAAAAGCAGTTTCTTTCCTATTCCTGATCCAGTTCCATAGGCAATTATTGATAGTTTGATCTTCCAGAAGTAGTCTATGCACATGTAAGGGTTGCTGACTATATTTTTTCCTTTGAAAAATAGAAATGCTAGCATATAGTTGCTGGTTTGCACCTTTTTTTGTGCTTAATAAATCTAGTTTATAAATAACACTTATAAAAAGTATACAAAATCTTTAATGACTTAATGTGCAAACTTTACATTTGCCCTTAAATATCTACTAATTTATTTTTGTGCCTATACTTTTTGCAAGCAGTATGTGTCCAGTCTTTACTATTAATAAAAAGCCAATTTGGGTGGAATCTCTCATTTATAGTATTTATTAAAAACATCTTGAAATTCCTCAAAAACGTTAAGTGTGTCTTACAAATCTGATGGTTTTGGTAGAATTACATGCTCTTCATTACTTTTTTCAGCATCAGTGTGCCTTAAGCTCTATCAGAGTTTGACTACGAAGGCTCCAATTTTTTAAAATATATTTTATTGATTATGCTATTACAGTTGTCCCATTTTCCCCCCTTCACTCCCCTCCACCCTGTATACCCTCTCCCACCCATATTCCCCACTTTAGTCATGTCCACGTGTCATACTTATAAGTTCTTTAGCTTCCACATTTCCCATACTATTCTTACCTTCCCCCTATCTATTTTCAACCTACAATCTATGCTACTTATTCTCTATACCTTTTCCCCCTCTCTCCTCCTCTTCCTCCCCTGTTGCTAACCCCCCATGTGATCTCCATTTCTGTGGTTCTGTTCCTGTTCTAGTTGTTTGCTTAGTTTCTGTTTTGTTTTAGGTGTGGTTGTTAATAATTGTGAGTTTGCTGTCATTTTACTATACATGTTTTTTATCTTCTCTAAGTCCCTTTAACATTTCATATAAGGGTTGGGTGATGATGAACTCCTTGAACTTGACCTTATCTGAGAAGCACTTTATCTGCCCTCCCATTCTAAATGCAAGCTTTGCTGGATAGAGCAATCTGGGATGTACATCCTTGCCTTTCATGACTTGGAATACTTCTTTCTAGCCCCTCCTTGCCTGTAAGGTCTCTTTTGAGAAATCAGCTGACAGTCTGATGGGAACTCCTTTGTAGGTTACTGTCCCCTTATCTCTTGCTGCTTCTAGGATTCTCTCCTTCATTTTTACCTTGGCTAATGTAATTATGATGTGCCTTGGCGTGTTTCTTCTGGGGTCCAACTTCTTTGGGGCTCTCTGAGCTTCCTGGATTTCCTGGAAGTCTATTTCCTTTGCCAGAATGGGGAAGTTCTCCTTTATTATTTGTTCAAATAAGTTCTCAATTTCTTGGTCTTCATCTTCTCCTTCTGGCACCCCTATGATTCAGATGTTGGAGCATTTAAACTTGTCCCAAGAGCTTTTTCAGCCTCATTTTTCTTTGAATTGTTTCTTCATTCTGTTCTGGTTAGATGTTTATTTCTTCATTTTGTTTCAAATCTTTGGTTTGAGTCCCAGTTTCCTTCCCTTCACTTTTGGTTCTCTGTGTATTTTCCTTTAACTTTGTATAGCCTTTATTTTGCGACCAAACTCAATTATTTCTGTGAGCATCCTGAATACCAGTGTTTTGAACTGTGCATCAAATGGGTTGGCTGTCTCCTTGTTGCTTAGCTCTTTTTCTGGAGTCTTGATCTGTTCTTTCATTTGGGCCATATTTCTTTTGTCTCAGTGCACCTATTATGTTGTAAGGGGCAAAACCTTAGATATTCACCAGGGTGGGGCAACCTTTTTTGCTGCATTGTGGCACTGTGAGGGAGGGGTCAGAGAGGGAACAATGCCACTTACTGGCTCTGCTGTAGCCCTACTTTCCGTCACATCCCTCACTTCACACAGGTGGACTGTGGCCTTTCAGATGCTGATTTGCAGATGGGTGGGTATGTGTACATTCTAGGATCCTGTGGACCTCTCCCATAGACTCTCCTGTGATCCTGAGAGTTTCTCCCACTGCCACAACTCCCAGATTTTCACATCCAGAGGTTCTGAGTCTTTAGTTTCCCATGCTGAAACCCTGGGTTTTGTGGTCTGTCTCACTTCCCGATGGTTCTTCCCAGTTTATCCGCCCATGAATGTGGGACCAACTGGTCTGCCAGCCACTTCCTTGGCTGCACCATCCTCTCTACCCCAGCTGCCCATCTCTGCCCCTTCTACCAGTATGGATGAATGTTTCATTCCTTGGTTGTCAGACTTCCATGAAGTTAGAATACCTGGCAGTGCTGGTTTTTTTTTTTTAAATTTGTTGTTGTTGTTCTTTTGGTTGTGCAAGGAAGTAAAGCGTTTCTACCCATGTCTCCATCATTGCCAGAACTCCTGGGCTGCTTTCTCCAAATCCCTGGCATATCAGTACATGAGCAGATCCTTTATTTTGTTCTTCATAATGAATATTTTTACTTTAATAACATTACATTATAGTTTTTATACTAAAAACTATAAAACATTTGGTGAAAATTAACAAACCAGAAATGACAATATATATTCTAAAATGTTCTTCCAGAAGGGTACAAACTACTGATTCGTGTTGTGCGTTTGAATTGGGAGTGAGATGATCTGTAGATTGTCATTCTGTTCCTGTATGCATTATACCACCTGAAGAGGGTCTCTGTCTATTTCAGACAGGATAATCTTAACCTTATTCTCCAAATGAGCACTCAGCATATCTTGAAGATCAGAAAGAAAGCCTCGTTCAGTGTTGCTATGTTCACAGAGGATAACATTTATTCCTTGGGAAGCAACATCTAAAATGTCATGATGGGACATCTCACCTGCCAGCAAAGGAAAGAGCAAATACTTAAAGATTAGACACAGAACTGGTGGAATGCTGAATCATTCTGTGTGAAGCAAATGTAATACAGCAGAACTTCACATATAAATGTAGAAATTTATGTATGGTTTCTTACATGTCCTCCAATTTAAAAAAGACAGACATTCTGAGAATTCTAAATTCTTTCTCCTTGGCAGATGCAAGACCAGTATCCAAACTTGCATATCCAACAGTATCTAATACTGCCAGAACTAGACCTGTAAGAATGCCCACTCAAATTTTTTCCACAAAATAGATGACCTGCTAAATAAAACTGGGCTTCAAAAAGTTTCTTTCCTATGTAATATTAAATAACAAATACTTCAAGAAAATCCTAGGCATACTTTCCAGAAGACTCCTTTATGCTTTGTGATTACCAAAATTTTTAGGATCAACCTTAGTCTACTTCATAAAGATGAAATGAGCTTCATATTATATCTAAATTAAAAATGGTATTTTCCTTTGATGCAGGCAAAATTCCTAGAAATCTGTTACTGCTGGGTAAGCATCTCATCTTCTGCAAAAAAGTTTTGGGAGAACTCAAATGTTTTGAATTTTTATGATTTTTTATTTATTTTATTTTTTTTTAGAGAGGGGAAGGGAGAGAGAGAGGGAGAGAAACATCAATGTGTGGTTGCCTCTTGTGCGCCCCCCGCTGGGGACCTGGCCCCGCAACCCAGGCATGTGCCCCAGCCTGGGAATTGAACTGGTGACCCTTTGATTCGCAGGCCAGCACTTAACTACTGAGCCACACCAGCTAAAGCGAATGTTTTGAATTTTTATTTTTATTTTTTTATTTTTAAAGAAATCTTTTTTTAAATATTTTATTTATTTATTTTCAGAGAGGAAAGGGAGGGAGAAAGAGAGAGAGAAACATCAATGTGCGGTTGCTGGGGGCCATGGCCTGCAACCCAGGCATGTGCCCTGACTGGGAATCGAACCTACGACACTTTGGTTCGCAGCCCGCACTCAATCCACTGAGCTACGCCAGCCAGGGGTTGTTTTGAATTTTTAAAAACACTATTTATGAATCAGATGACTTCTAATTTAAGAACAAAAATATATTGTGCAAAATTTGGCTTGTTCATAAAAAGCATAATTTAAAAATATATATAGAAATATAAAGGTATAAAAAATAAGAGGAAAAGGTTCTTAGAAAAAAGGGTCCCCCCCCCCCCAGAAAATAAGTGTTTTTTAAAAAATCCTCACCCAAGGATATTTTTTGTTGATTTCAGAGTGAAAGGGAGGGAGAGAGAGAAAAATATCAATGTGAGAGAAACATTGATCAGGTGCCTCCCTGTATGCACCCTGACTGGGATGAACCTGCAACCTTCTGGTGTACAGAACAATGATTAACCCAACCAGCCAGGCCACCTCACCCCCCCAAATTTTTAATTGCCCACATTTCCATGCCCCCATATGTGTCATTTCATTATAAAGAATATTTTTTTATTCAAACACCTTTTAAGACATCTTAATCTATAATAAATAATAAAATAAAAGGAGAAAAGGACACGAAGGTGGCCCAGTTAGAAGCCATGCTTTAGGAAAGGCAAGTTGGCTGCCTGGGATTATTATAAGTGCACTGGCTGCAAAAGGCAAGAAAGTGGGAAAATCCATGGAGACCCTACAGTAAGAGCTGTAATCAAAAGCAAAGGAAAGAAAAACTTGGCACAGTGGTGGGAAAGAAGGCAAGTGAGAATTTATGCAGCATCTGCAAGAAGCAAGTTCCCCATCTCCTGGTCTTTCTAGGATATTATCCTTAATAACCTAATTCCAGGTCAAGCTCAATGGAAAGGTGGTGAATAGCAGCAGAGGTGTATATTTGTATATTTGGTCTTCTGACTGTGCTTCTCATTCCTGGAGTTATATTTGAAGTGATGCCTCACAGACTATAGACATCTAAAGTCAGGCAGATACTAAGATCTTTTCTATTTCCCCAAGTAAATAGGAAGGACATCTCAACATTTTGGAACTGTGTGAATTTATCTGATGCACATATTGCTTTATAATTAAAAAAACGTTTCAAAAGTCATTATTTACAAGGAAACAATCAGACACCTCAAACTGAGAAATATATACCAAAGCAAAAGGCCTATGCACTTCAAAAATGTCAGTGCTCTGAGGACAAGCTAAGGAATTATTCCAGATGCAGTGTGTGATCACTGATTGTATATTGATTAGAAAAAGAAATGCTACAAATTTTGATCAGTTAGCAAAATCTGAATATAGAGTTATATATATATAGAATATATAACATTTACATTAAATAAATGTTTTAACAATATTAAATTCCTAAGTTTTAAAAAAAGATTTATTTATTTTTAGAGGAGGGGGAGGGAGGGAGAACAACAGGGAGAGAAATATTAATTGGTTGCCTCTTGCAGGCTCCAAACTAGGTACCTGGCCTGCAACCCAGGCATGTGCCCTGTCTGGGAATGGAACCTGCAGCCTTCTGGTTTGCAGGCCGGTGCTCAATCCACTGAGCCACACCAACCAGGCTTAAATTCCTGAATTTGATCACTGTTCCATGGTCATATAAGACAATGTCCTTGTTCTTAGGAGATGTATGCTGAATTGTTTAAGGGTAAAATGTCACTGTATCTGCAATTTACTACAAAACAGTTTTGGGGGAAATATATATATTTATTTATACACAAATATATAATATGTACACAGAGAGAATGTACAAACATGGAAAAATATACCCATTAGTAATCTAAGTGAAGGCATACAAGAGTTCATTGTACTATTCCTGCAGCTGTTCTAAAGCTCTTAATTTCCTTCAAAGTAAAATGTTAGAGTCACACACCATGCTATAAATTATTCTGTCAAATTGCCTACACATTAAAAGTTTATCTCAATCTGGTACAAGATTGAGGGCTTATAAAAATGTTACATCTTCAGAGAGAGAGAAAAGAAAGCAGATAATGGTTGTGTATATTTTCAGTGGGTTAAGAGCAATTACATCAGGCTTGCTCAGAAGCTGGACCTCTATGCTTCTGGATGTGACAATATTCCAAGTATATCAGCCTTTGTGAGAGGGTGCGCTAGGTAATAAATCGTGGGAGGCAGGAGAGGCACAGTAATGAAAAGGCACAGAAGTACCCAGGGAATGGCCAGAGGGTTAAGACCCTAGAGTCTTTATTCTGGAAGTAGGAAAAGAGATCTTTAACTCTCTCCTAACACTAAGGAGGAGCAGAGGTGGAAAAGCAGCTGGTAGCAGCCAAGTGTACAAAGTGCCTCCAAAACTTCTGGAGGAATGATGAGCCATGTTACAAGTCAGTGTGCAGATGGGGAGCCAAACAGTACTGTCCAACAGAAATGCAATCAGAGGTTAAGGACAAAGTGGCAGGGATTGGAGAGGAAGGCATGACCATCAGGGGCAGGAGTCAGAGAGTGGCAGAAAAAGATTCTAGGAGGTTTCTTTGAGCTTATCTCTAGAAGTACAAAGAAAGTGGCAAGTAAAAGGTCTAGCAAGAGAAACGGCATAAGCAAAGGCTGCATGAAAGAAGATGAAACGTTCAGGCTTCAGGAGCACAGACGATGGAAATCACCAAACGTTTTTTAGCCAGAATATTATACACCATCAAATCTGTACTTTTGAAAGTTAATTTTGGAGATTTCTAGTCAAGGTGTTGACACAGGTAAACACAGTTCCTCTCCTCGCATAACCACATCAAACGTACAACTAAAACTATAGAACAACCACCATTTAGAACCATCAGAAATTGAGCTGAATGGAAGTCCTACAACTACAGAGTTAGAATAGAAACTACACTGTGACTGGTAGGAGGGCAGAGACATGGAACGGGCTGGTCCCACACACACATGTAGCAGATACAAATAGGAAGGGATATTTAAAGAGTGAAGGGTCCCAGCCCAACATCAGGCTGCCCAGTCCAGGGATCCAGTGCAAGGAAATGAAGTCGCCATAACTTCTGGCTGCAAAAACCAGTGGGGATTGAGGCTGTGTAAGACAGATACTATGGACTCCCTGGCAGTTCCTCTGAGAGGGCCCATGCACAGACTTACTCAGAATTAACTCCCTCTGAGCTTTAGCACTGTAGCAGCAGATTGAAAAACATCTGAGACATACAGGGAGGAAATGAATTGTCTGGCATCAGGGTAAGAGCTGGGAGGGCAGCTTTGTACCAGACAGAAGTGCTGGCAGAGGCCATGGTTCCCTTTCTGAGCCTCCCATCACAAAGCCACAGAGCTGGCTGGTGGGCAACAAGTCTGAGACTCCATCAACCTGGCTCACACTGCTTGTCCCACTCTGGTGATTCCCTGAGGCACTATTCCACCCAACTTTTGGGCCTACCCAAGCTGCTTCCAGTGGCCTTTCCATATGAATGGCTTGTCTTCACCCACACTTCAGATTTTCCTTAATTATCTCAAACAAGCAGCATCTGGCTTCAGCAAGCCCCCATACCTCTTGCTAAGTTGACCCAAGCCCACCACTAGTAGCAGCCAGCCATAGTTCATACTTTGGCCTTGCCTAGGCACCTCCAAGCCCAATACCAGTAGCAGCTCCTGCAAATTGCTTTGTAGCTTATGCTGTGTGACCCTGGACAGAACACAGGTGGTGGCTGACCTTGGACATGCCAACATCAATCAAGGCTCAACTACAAGAGGAGGGTGTACACAACCCACACGGTACATACACCTTGAATACCCTAATAGAGGAGGCTATGCTACTGGATACCTACTATATTAGGTATCCAGGACACCTACTATATTAGGCTATTATACCAAGCCCGGGAGACATAGCAGCTGTACTTAGTATTTACATAGAAATAAACACAGGAGACTGCCAAAATGAGGAGACAAAGAAACATGGCTCAAATGAAAGAACAGAACAAAATTCTAGAAAAAGAACTAAACAAACTAGAGACAAGCAGGCTACTAGATGCAGAGTTCAAAACACTAGCTTTAAGGATGCTCAAGGAACTTAGTAAGGATCTCAGTAGCATAAAAAAGATCCAGTCAGAAACAAAGGATACACTAATTGAAACAAAGAACAAATTACAGGGAAACAACAGTAGAGTCAATGAAGCTGAGAATCAAATCAATGGTTTGGAACATAAGGAAGCAAAAAAAAGCCACTAAGAACAACAAGAAGAAAAAAGAATTTACAAAAGGATAGTGTAAGCAGCCCATGGGACAGTTTCAAGAGGCCAACATTCACAACACAGGGGTGCCAGAAGGAGAAAAGAGAGCCAGAAACTGGAAATCTATTTGAAAAAATAATGAAAGAAAACTTCCCTAATTTGATGAGGGAAATAGACATGTAAGTTCAGAAAGTACAGAGAATCCTAATTATGAGTGATATAAAGAGGCCCACTCTAAGACATGTCGTAATTAAAATGCCAAAGCTTAAAGATAAAGAGAGAATCTTAAAGACAGCAAGAAAAAAGCAGTTAGCTACCTACAGGGGAATTCCCATAAGACTGTCAGCTCATGTCTCAAAAGAAACTTTGCAGGCTAGAAGGGCCTGGCAAGAAATATTCAAAGTCTTGAAAAGCAAGGACCTACATCCAAGACTGTTCTACCCAGTAAAGCTATCATTCAGAATCAAAGGGCAGATAAAGAGCTTCCCAGATAAGAAAAAACTAAAGGAGTTCATCATCACCAAACCATTATTATAGGAAATGTTAAAGGGACTTTTTTAAGGAAAAGGTTGCCTGATAGGAGGGGGAAGTAGGGGAATGGGTAAAGAGGTGAGGGGATTAAGAAGTACATATTGGTAATTTGCAGAATACCCATGGGGATGTAAAGTACAGTATAGGAAATGGAGTAGCCAAATAACTTACATGCATGACCTGAACAATGCTGTGCGGGCTGCCTGAGGGAGTCGGGGTGCTGGGTGGAGGGGGGCAAATAGAGAAATATTGGGACAACTGTAATAGCATAATCAATAAAATATAATTTAAAAAAAGAAAGTTAAATTTGGGGGAGTATGTGGAAGATTAAGATTAGAGATTTGATGGTGTTCTTCAAGTAGGTGATGATACCTGGATAGAACAGGAAAGGCCCTAGAAAAATTTTGGAGCTAAACTAATAGGAACTGATGATTGACTTAGGGTTGAGTAAGAGGCACCATTTTCTACCTAAGGCATAGAAAGTAACATGAAATCTCAGAGAAATCATGTTTAGGAAGAAGATGGGTTAAATAAATGCTAAACATCAGTGTTTTTAAATATTCTAATAAACTATTAAATGATTTTTCCCCTCCACAAAGAAATGGTACATCTTCAATTTTGGTGTAGTTCCTATTTAGTTCAGGTTCAAAAAGCATTTATTAGATCCATCTATATGCCAGGTGCTGTCATAAAATTTGCTATTTTTTAACTTGTAAAAAGAAACCAAGGTTGGGGCATGGCTGGTATGGCTCAGTGGACTGAATGCTGGCCTAGGAACCAAAGGGTTGCAGGTTTGATTCCCAGTCAGGGCACATGCCTAGGTTGCAGGCTGGGTCCCCTGTGGGGGGCGTGTAAGATGCAACCACACATTGCTGTTTCTCTACCTCTCTATGGCTCTCCCTTCCCTTCTCTAAAAATAAATAATTACAGTCTGAAAAGAAAAGAAAAGAAAAGAAACCAAGGTTGGGGAAGGATACGCAAAAGGGTAGAAAGAAGACACAAAGGCTGTCCTACCTGTGAAGTAAAGGTCGGCTTCTGTCCCCTGCAGAACACTGCTCCCAGAACCAGCACACAGAGCCACAACTTTGACTTGGGATGCTTCAAGATAAAGGAAATAAGAGACCAGTACTTTACAGTTCCCCTTCATTTTAATGTTAGAATTTGCACCAAGAACCCTAATGCAGATTTCACTCCTGGTCTCATCACCAGTATATGAATTTTGCTCACTGAATTTTAAAAAGCAACAAAACGTGTCTTCATATAGGCTAACAGATTATTCTTTGGTATTGCATAGCTAACCCAAGGCAAGGTTATTATTCCCTTGGATGTATATGGCTGCACAAGCCCATGCAAGGCACCACTGAATAATGCTAATAGTACAGCTCCAGACTTCACTGGCACAGTACTAGGTAAAGTAACCTCACCTGGGTCCCCAGGCAACAGGGAGAGGTAGGCATGTACTATGTCAGTTCTCAGGTGAGGAAGCAGAGGAACTAAAAGGACTAGTTAGAGGAATGCTAAAAATGGCTTTGACACATTTTTAAATATTGTATTTACTTTAAAAAGAGCATCTTCAAAAGAGTGAAATAACAGGAACTTCAAGCAAAATCTGACAAGTATTTAGCACTTAGGTTTCCAGGATGGATACTTCATTAGTGGTCATCCTAGATTACAATAGGGCTATTTCAAAGAAGGGGCTTTGAAGCTGGATCAGAAGTCAAATACCACCTCTGGCAACTACTTTCTTTGGAAATTAACTCTTATGAGTTATTTGATCCAACTATGGACTTTCGGATAAGTTACTTAACTCGCTGAACCTTGCTGTTTTCAGTGGTGCAATGGGAACACTAATACCTACCACAGGTCTAATAGCTAGCATTTGCTGCACTTAACGTATACCAGGCACTGTGCCCTGTCACTTGGATTACGTACATCTACCTCGCTGAATTAGGTTTTTATTATTAGTATCGTTTTTACAGACATGGCTACCAGGACCCAAAGGGGTTAAATAACCTGTCAAAATCATGCAGCAAATAGGACAGATAAATTTGAACCCAAGACACTCAGAATTCACACTCACAACCTCTGGTCTCCTTTGCAGCAGGAGCCCACCTACATCAGACACTCAGTACAATGCCAGGCAAACTGCAGGGGTCCAACAAATGTCTTGTTCATTCCTTCTGTTCCCCAAAGTAATGGGAAAAGCCAAAAGACAAGACAGTGTCTACAACACTCAGGGACTGCAGGGAGTCAATTCACTTAGTAGCACTACAGTATAAAATATCACCAATATTGTTAAAATGCCAAGATTTGCATGGCAATTGGATCTGTCATAATTTCCTGGCACATGGTAGGATGGTACTTCATGCCCAACTTGGGTTAGGTTGGGCAATGTGACTAACTCTGGACTGTGAGTTAAACAAAAGTTCATTTCTAGGCTAGAATGATTAAGATTCTCTAAAACTTTCCCTCTGCAACAGCAACCAGCCTACAATGGGCATGTTTCCCCTGCTGATTTGAGATGAACAGAGTGTGATGGAAAAATAAATCTTGTCAAAGTCAATGAGATGTTTACCACAGCACAACCTAGACTACCCTGATTGATAACAAACCAGTCAGTCATTCTCGTGACTGCTAACAGGCTTTCTTTCACTTACATTAATAGTCAAGAGTTTCAGCTTTTGCCCAACATTAACAGTATGGATACTGGACAAATAAAAGAGACATTTACCTAAGGTCCTCCCTACCCCAAGAGCAAGGCGAATATGTGACAGTTTTAGGTGCCTTTTGATTCGCTCAATCATGGTTGCCAAGGAGACAGGTTCATCCAGTGTGCATAACCGTCCCATTCCAGTGTGCAGAAGCAGAGGCTGAGGAGAAACAGAAGTCATAAAAACTGTCCATCATCAGTCCTAGAAAGCAAACCTATGGAACAAAGAGCAAATGCTGAGATCAATGTGACACGCACACTATGAGCTCACTACAGCCAGCTCCAGGCTAAAGTTTGTACCCAAATCTCACAAAAATATTCTCTGACTTCTAGGAAATCATAGTCTCCTGGTAAGACTGATATTTAAATAAATAATAATAAGCATGTTTAAATACAAGGCAGGTACTATTTTTTAATGAGAGCACAAAGGAATGGCAAAATAAATAAAATGGGTCTTGGGGGTGGGGATACTTGGAAAAGGGAGAATCAAAGGTTTTACAAGAACTTGAGTATTGCAGACAGACAAGAGAGGAGTTGAAGGAGAAGGGACATCAAGGGCAGTATGGAAAGACAGGGAGAGGGTGAGAGGTGGAAAGGCAGTCTAACCAGGGACCATGTACAAAGGTGTCAAAGTGTGAGAGAGCACACTGAGGACAGATCCAAAAGCAGTATCACTGGTGTGCAGAGCAGGGGATGGTGACTGAGAAGCAGCTGGAGACGCAGGTCACAGCCAGTCTTGAAACACTTCGTACACTAAGTCTGCATTGTCTCCTGTGTGTGCTTCCTTAACAGATCACTCACATTCAAAGTGAGGGAATATGAAAGTTTTCAACTTCTTTGGTGGCAAAGTAAATAGAGAGGAGAAATATATTATAGATTTGGGTACAGAATCAGCAGGGCTTGGACTTACAGGGGCAGGGAGAGCTATGGAAACTTGGAAAATAAGGTAGATGATGATGCCACTGATGAAACAGAAAAAAGAAAAGTGAGGATAAGGTGGATATTTGTATATATTTATTGTCATTTGAAATACTTGTGGGATCTGTAAATGGAAAATGTCTAGAAACTAGTTGGAAATATGGGTTTGTTTCAATTTTTCAACTTAAGAAATCATACTGAGCCACAAAGTAAAGGCATAGGAATCATCATACAAATGACTGTTAAGTTAAAGGAGTAAATAAAAGGGTTCACACGGAGGGCATAAAATAAGAGACCAAACTATAAGAGTCTCTGTCAATGAAGACTACAACCATGGTCTGAATGTTTCTGTTCTCCCAAAATTCATGTTGAAAACCTAACCACCAAATGTGTTAGGAGGGGAAGCCTTTGGGGGGTGCTTTAAATCATGAGGGTAAAACCCACACAAATGGAATTTGTGCATTATAAGAGAGTCCAGAGAGATCCCTAGTCCCTCCCAGCATGTGAGAACATAAAAGGTACATCTATGAATTAGAAGTGGGCTCTCTCACCAGACACTACTCCAAATTTGCCAGTGCTGTGATCTTGGACTTTTCAGACTCCAGAACTGGGAGAAATAAAGTTGTTTATAAGCTATCTAGTCTGTGGTATTTTGTTACAGCAGCTCAAATGGGTGGAAGCAGCCCAATAAGGCAAGGACCAACATTATTCTATTCCTGGGATGTCTCCCTTTCTGAATATATTTTCCAAGGACTATGCCCTCATCATCATCACTTGGTGCTTCTTCAGATAAGTTAATAGCCTACTGATCTAACAATTTACAAGTGAATTTGCCAAACATAAATGCTCAGCGATATAAGATATTTTTATTACCTTTTCCAGTGACAGAATTTCAGTCTTCTGATAAAGCTCACTGTTCTGGGAAAGAAAAGCCACCACCTGCACCAGTGCCTGCTGACTACAATTCAAACTGATCCGTGTTTGTTCTTCATCATCAGTCCTACAAAAAAAATCACCCACTGGTTTAGGATAAATATAAACAAAATGTATTTTAAATAATCTGTCTTTTACAATCTCCTACAATAGATTAGATTTATATAGAATTTAGGATTTAATCCAAAACCAAATTATTTTCTAGAATAGTGTTTCTCAAACTTTAGAATACACCAGAATCACCTTGTGGATGATTTAAATCACAGGCTGCTGGGCCCCACCCCCTGTTCTGATTCAGTAGGTCTAGGAGGAGTCTGAGAATTACTGTTCTAGCAAGTTCCCGGTGGTGCTGACGTGGCTGACCCGAGGACCTCACCTTGAAATCTCTGCTCTAACTGTTCTTAACCCAGTCATGCATTGCCTCCTAAAATGACAGCTGCTGGACCCTTTTACAGATCCAGTGAAACAACATCTATGAATGGGCCAAGGCAAACTGAATTCTTTGTAAAGCCCTGGAGAAGTTAATTTTCAAACATCACTGCATACAAGAATTTCCTGGACAAATCCTCAGGGAAACCCCATTTTAATTACATAGACCTGGGATGAAGCCAAAAATCTACATTTTTCATAAGTACCCTATTAACAAAGATGCAAGGGGTCCCTGAATTGCCCTTTGAGAAGCAATGCTGTTGAGTTTCTTCAGAAAGACTGGCATCAGGAAAGTTTTGGCCCTGGCTAGTGAGGGTCAGTGGATAGAGCACCAGCCTGCAAACTGAAAGGCTGCTGGTTCCATTCCTGGTTAGGGCACATGCCTGGGTTGTGGGCCAGGCCCTCAGTTGGGGGCGTGCGAGGGGCAACCGATCTATTGGTATTTCTCTCCCTTTTTTCTCCCTCACTTCCCACACTTTCTGAAATAAATAAATAAATAATATTTTTAAAGAAAGTTTTGTATTTAATCATAAACTCTAAATAAAAATTCTATTGTAGAACTAAAAGGCATCTTAAAATATAATCTGGATGTGTAGTTGCCAATACTGTAATCATCCATGGAGCTTTGAAAATAAAAAGCAAAAACCATGACTGGGCCCTGATTGATGGTAAAACCCAGACATTACCTGTAATACAGTAAAACCAGAGCCAAACTAAATATGCAAGTTTTTTTTTAAAGTCCATCAGTAAGGAAGAAGAATGTTTAAAGAATCGACAGTACATCCATAAGAAACATTACTCAGCAGTTAAAAAGAGATCTTATATACCTACACGGAAAGATCCCTGAGATATCTTGTTAGTAAAAAGGTAAATACGTTGTACCATTTAATTAAGAGAACAATGAATAAAACCAAACTATATATTTCTTCATGTCTCTGTATGTGCTTGGAAAGATACCCACTTTTCTGAAAGCAAGAAAAAAGGTGGCCTGAGTTGAAGATACTCGGATTGAGTAGAAGGGACAAGGAGGATTTTTGTATTGTTTAATTTTTCATGCTTTACTTATATAATTTTCTTTTAATTTCTGTACTTGCACAGTATTTCAATATGGTAAAGGAAATCCATGACTGGAATCTATGCAAAATCCTATAAATAATTTTTCTTGAAATTCTTGAAATTCTCCCATACTGTTAGAGAACATTTGTGATGGTTTTACTATGAGGTATCTATACTTAAGCAACTCATCAAAAAAGTCACTTTTTGGTGTAGCTTGACACAGAGTTCCATTTTATTAAAAAGTCATTATATTTATCTTTGTGGCCTGACTGAGAATAGAACCATTGACCTTTTGGTTCACAGGCCGATATTCGATTCACTGAGCCATGCCAGCCAGGGCTAAGTTGTCTTTTATAAGATAAATTAACCTAAAAGAAAATCTCCTAAGAAGCAACATTTTGATACCTGTCCTAAATAAATACGTGCCTCTTATGAGAGGCGCTGTAACGTATTTCTTCTTTAAAGGGCTTGGGAATCACTGATTGCTGGGAGCTGATAAAAGTACACCTATGTTATCAGTATGTCACCAGGATTTATCTATATACAGATATACTTCATTTTATTGAGCTTCAGAGGTGTTATGATTTTTATAAAATGAAAGCAAGACGCTCCACCTGCAAAAAGATTACAACTCACTTTATTACTATACTCCGTTATGCTTGTCTGGACCCAAACCCACAGTATCTCCGGGGTATGCTTATCCCCTAAAGTATATACAACTACTTTTCACCATTACCAGGAATATGAGAAATACTGTATACAATATGTATAGTTTAGTCCCTCCCACCCAGGAAGTAGTGTTATCATTTTTATTGTTTTGAAAAGCTCCTGTAGTTCTCCTTGAGGACCCAAATAAGTAGCACACAGTTTTGTAAACCCATGCCAGAGAAAATAATTTGTTTCAAACCTAAATGCCAGAATTACAGAATTTGTAAGGACAATCCTTAACAAATAAATATCTACCAAAAAAGAGAAAAATATACTGACCTAGCAGAAAAAGAGGTGACAGAAACACCTGAAACTCCTTTCACTGTAGCAATGACTTTGTCCAGGTCTTGGGTGTGGTCAACATTAAATTCTACTCTATGTGTTCCCTCCGTTGGGTAGTTAAGTGCTTTGGAAGGAAGTATGGGCCTCGAGGTGCAAACTCCTAGAAAAAAATTGTAGGATAATGGAGTTTTTGTGGTCTTTTTAAATTAAAAAGATAAACTATCATAGGCAAAACACAAAAAATTAGTATTTTTAAAAAAATTCATTCTCAGATATTTATACACTATATACACATATACATATCCTTTACACATATATCCAACAGACCCAAAATGAGGGATTTAATACAGATACACAAAATCAAATGTATTTTCAGAATTATTTTCCAGGAGACTCTTAAATATCAAAAACATTTGGACAAGACAGACTCAGGGTGCAATTGTTCATATCCACCTGACTACATCAATCCAGATTATATCTTCATAAAAGCTTTAGGCCAAAATGCATAAACTATAAACACTTACTAAAAATAAAGCTAAAACACATATGCTGAATTCCCTCATTAAAACTCTGATGTCTATTTGAGTGATATATTAAGTATATTCTGGAGAAGCCTGAGCTTTCAATTCAATTTAACAAGCACTTTAGAGTGCTCAAGTGGTAGGTACTATACTACATGAGTGAGGAATCACAAAGCTGAGTGGAGCAGAGATTTCCTATGCTCTCCTTATTCATGAATAATAATAATAATTTTATTTTTCAAATGCAATTTAATCGCCCAATTTCAGCAACATTATTTTTAAATATATTATTTAAACATAGAATAATGGCCCTGCATCTAAAACAGTTAAAATTCTACTGTAAAGACATTCTAGGGAAAAACATGAAACATGAGAGATGAAGAGGCTTCTCACCAAGCCCTTTAGCCAGCCAGTTGTTGACTCCCTGGGGTGCAGCATCATAGGCTGTGTGAGGAGAGTAAACAGCGACCCTGTTCTCCAGAGCCCGGATCACCAGGCGCTCCTTCCAGGTTTTCCAGGTTACGCGCTTCATGGGTCGGAAAATAGGCGGATGGTAGGAGAGAATGAAATCAGCCTTTTTTTGCAGCGCCTCCTCCATCACTTCTTCAGTCAAGTCATTGGTCAGGAAGAGTGTGTTTACAGTGTGTGGTGGGCTTGGTTCCACCAGTAATCCAACATTGTCCCAACTCTCAGCAAATGAGAGGGATGCAAAGTCATTCAAGGAGGAAAGGAGAGCCTTCAAATCCATACAGGAAGAGGAAGGATTGTGGATCAGGGATTGAACAAAGCGAACTGTTGTGGGGAGCAGTCGTATGTGAGATGACAACATGCAGAAATCAGGTAAGACTGAGTATCTGAAGTCAAAATACAGAAAATGCTACACATGTACACTTTGGGCCTGGAACTTTGCAAAACAGGAACAAAAGAGCAATCATACATACCTGGTTTCAGATACTGCCTCTGCCACTTACCAGCACGTGGTACCTTAGCTAAGTCATTTAACCTCTGAGCCTGCTTCCTCATGTATAAAGTGGAAACACTACAACCTACTTCACAGACTGTCCAGAGGAGCAAATAGATTCATATGTATGAGCCACCTGGCACAAACCTGGTACACAAAACACAAACGGTTACCCCGTTCTCCCCAGCCTCTACCACACCCTTGCTCTTGTTCTTCCCATCCCTATTTCAATCCCTATTTTCTCCTGCCTTCTCCATTTCTCTAAATATTACCCTTCCTTCCAAATCCCCTTCAACTTCTAAATAAAGCCTTTCTTGACAAACCTTCCTTTTCAGAGTCTCCCTCCTCCCTGTCTGACCCCATTCTGCCCTCGTACCCTCATAATGTTATATTCCTCTTTGTCTGTCTCCCCAGTATACTAGTGCCACCAGAAAATAGGAACTATCCTTTATATATCTCAGTATTACCAACACAGGCCAGCACTAAATGCTTACTGCACACACTGATATAGTCCCCCTATCCCATCAGAGCAGAATTTGGAGTTCGGGTGGTATATATTAGTATGAAAAAGTACTTTATAAAAAAAATAACAACATATATAAATAGTAAGTGCTTCATAAGGTGCACAGACATGTCACTCCAAATGGGCTGGGTCGAGGCAGGAAAAGGCAGAGCTGCTGCCTCTGAACCAACACCTGCTACAGGAAGGCTAGGCTCTAAGGTGGCAGAGTGCCCAGAGTCTGTAAGCCCTCTAGACAGTTGTATCCACAAAAGATAACACTGTCAACTCCATTCTTAAAATTGGTATCCACGAACACTTCCGTTTTTGAAGAAAAGCAATACATACAATAGTATGCACAATAATGAAAGAGAAAGCATAGCCAGTTGTAAATTTAAATATTCATAACCCAATAATTTCAAAAGCAATTTTTAAAACATTTCTACAGCTAAAATATTTAATATGAGGTGTAAGCACCTGTTACTTATTCAATATATGATTTGAAGTGATGTGGCACCTCTGTTAACCACCCGGGCCTAGGAAGATCGTCTAATGTCCTTATTTATACCACTTTCACTTTCCATATTTCACATCCTGGTAGTATTCCACTCTCCAGACTCTTCTAAATCTGGCAAGAGCGAAAGTGAAACTTTAGTGGGCCATCCATCCTTGTGTTACTTATTGTTACATTTGAAAGCGCCCTGGGAAATAACAGAACGCCCCTTATTTCAGATTAGGAAATGTGTCGCTTGATGCCCGTTAACAACAATAGGAGGCGGCACAGCATGTTGAATAAGAGCACCGACTCTAAAACTACACTGACCTCCCACAGCCAGACAGCTGTGCAACAAATTTACACCTCTTAAGAACTGGAAATGCCAGGCTCACAATGTCACATGATTTAAACGTAAAGCTGGCGACAACACCTGACCTAGAGTCAGCACTGTTTGTTATTAAGTAGGTCCCACTTTACAGCCTGCAAACTGCACCTTTTTTCGTTCCCTCGTATTCAGGCCTTTTCCGGGATGATGAAGAGTCCAGGTGGCACAGCCGGTAAGCCCCTTGACTCAAGACCCCTGCTCCAAGAGTCCCATGCTCTCATGCGGCAAGCCAGTTTTCTGCCCCTATCTTCTCTCCTGCTCTCTTTTGAGGGAGCGCTAGGAAAACAGCCAATGCCTGCACGAACCACGGTCCGCAGTAAATTTAAAACGCTCAAGACTTACCAGTTCTGGAAAGACTCCCCCCGCGTCACTTCCAAACCGCGCGGCACCTCAAAGCATTGTGGGAATAGGCTGGGAACGGAACTGGTCCTTCCCATTTTACCTCTGAGCCCAAGGAAACTCTGGAGTTGCCTAAAGTAGTTCCGGGTTTCCCGTCCTAGTGTTGAGAGAGCTTCCTTTCACTGTCAAAATTGTTCCCGGTGGAGATAAATTACATGTATCCCTAGTTCTACTTGTCTTGGTTTGAGCTAGAGGCGGGGCGGCGGCGAAGGCGAGCCCACGAGAGGCGTTCTCTCTAATGAGTCCCGTGCTCAGCTTCCGGTGGCCTGAAGAAACTAATTTCGAATCTACACACCTGTGGGGGCATCTGCAATTCACCTTTTCTGAAAGTTTTAGCAACAGCTCTGCTTACCGAAGTGGGCAAGTAAGTATGGGATAACGCTCTCATTCTTTCTGGATTTGGAGAGCGTTGAGTGTTTTAGTTCTTGGGCTAATTCGGGTGGGTTCAGGGTGGAGAAGGTGATGTTCAAACAACACACTTAAATTAACAAAGTATATGGTATATTAGAGATAAGTGTTATGGGGAAAAGAAAATAGGAAAAGTACTAGGATCAAGGCACTTTAGAATAGTTGTCAAGTCAGTGAGACCTGACTTGGGAGCAGAAACTTGGAGGGGAGGAAAATAGCCGCACAGAAGTCAAGAGACCCAAGTCCGTAATGTATGATAGTTGGCTTGTTGGAGGACTTGCAAGGAGGATCTTGAAGAAGAGTGAACAGGGGAAGTAAGAGGTTGAGAAGCTTAAGTCGGGTAGCATCTCTTCATCACTTCTATGACCGGATTTTTACTACTAGGGCGAGAGGGCTGCTCTTCGAGACTTTATCTTTTACATATGCAGTAAAAATAAGCATGTGTGAGGTAAGAGAAAAATGAACGTAATTATTTTTTTCTTTTGGGAATGGAGATTCGTTTTTGAGCTTCTCTAGATGAGACTGGGAGAAATTAAGTAAAAGTAACCATCAAGAAGAAAAATGGTAAGTTCTATAGAATTCTTATGACTGTCTCATAAGTAAATTTTAGAAATTCAGTCAAGGGAAATAAAACTGCACAGCAATATCAATGGCAAGACAGAGAAGCAATAAGCTATAGAAGCATACAATGAAAAATGGTTCTCAACAAAAAGCAAAACTACTTTTTAATTTATATTTTGACTTAAAACATGCAGAATTTACCTTTTATAGAAAAAGATTGATTACAGGGTAGATCGAGATGAAAAGGGGGAGGAGGAGGAGCAGAAGAGTATAGCCCAGGTGTTGAAATTTTAATTGGAAACTTTTGCTCAGTATCAAGGTGGGCAGCTTGAGCTTGAAGTAGACAGCAAGTAGAATAACGCGCCCCCCCCCCACCCTGACTCCTGCTTTGTATCTTCATAGATACATGGCCATACTCTAACAGCTAGATACTATTGTAATAAGAAGAAAAATGTAAAAGGAAGCCCCAGAATAATAATTTCCCTTCTTTCTTCAATGGGATAACTAAAAAAGGAGTATTCAAGCTACCAAAGTAACAGATAAGGCAAACAAAGAGCCAGAATAAAGAGAACCAAGGGAAAAAAAATATTGTGGTTATTTAGTGCACATTTAGAATCTGGAAACACAGATGTTTTCTATGTCCTGTCTTTAGTTGAGAAAGGAATAATTTTTAATCCTGTCATTCATAATTAAATTACGTAAGGGGAATGGTGAAAATTATGTTTCAAAAGTCATTCTCTTACCATTTTCAATAAATGATGGTGAATGCCATTTAAATCAATAGTTTTCACATTACAATTGTTTTTATATTTACTGCTGAAAATTCAAACTTAAAATAATTACTTCCATCACAATATCTGCTCCCTAATTTTTAGCATTAATACCACTTTACCCTAACCTTTATATTTATCTTCTGAAGTTTTTTTCTACTAGTGAAGCAACTTTGAAGGAATACAACTTAATCTCGCATAGCTGCTATGTGGACAGATCATCTCTGAAAGAGTATTTCTGTCTATTTTTATTTAGATTGTCATCTTTAATATCTAGTTAGGGAAATCATACGGTGCGTAAAGTCCCCTGAAGAAATCTCATTTGTTCTTGCATTCTTTTTCCTTTTAGTCGGTAACACTGCATACAGATGTAGGTGATATTAAAATAGAAATCTTCTGTGAGAGGACACCCAAAGCCTGTGAAGTGAGTACTGTTATGTACAAATTAAAAAATGAGTTAATGCAACAGGATAACCATTTTGAAATTAAATAATTTTAAAAAGTCAACCACATCCAAAAAAGAGAGAAAAACCCACTTTTGTATAAAATAAAACCATTGTCAGGAAAAACCAGCCATCATAATTTCTGGCCTAATTTCCAATTACCCTTCCTGATGTCTACAGGAGTGACTGGTATCTTTCTATTCTGGCTCATTTTTTCTTAGGAAATATAAGTAATCATTAGATATCAGGTAAGAGAACTCTCTCTTACATTATTTCACTTGTTTAAATGACAAGGCTAGAGCCCTGGCTGGCGTAGCTCAGTGGATTGAGCGCGGGCTGGGAACTAAAGTGTCCCAGGTTCGATTCCCAGCCAGGGTACATTCCTGGGTTGCAGGCCATAACCCCCAGCAACCGCACATTGATGTCTGTCTGTCTGTCTGTCTCTCTCTCTTTCCCTCCCTCCCTCCCTTCCCTCTCTAAAAATAAATGAAATCTTAAAAAAATAAATAAAAAATAAATGACAAGGCTAGAAGGAAGAAGAGTCAACTGTGTGTGTGTGTGTGTGTGTGTGTGTGTGTAATCATTCAACAGCTATTTATGAAATTCTGTCTTGAAAGTGTCTGGGAATACAGTGATGAACAAAAGACATTAACTCTCGTGGAGCTGATGTTCTAGGTGGGAAGATAGGCAGGGGGTGGGGGCAGATTTATTCTAGAAAAAAAAGTAATTCTAGATGGTGGTAATGCCTTAAAGGTAATAAAATGTTGAAACAGAGAATAATGGGGGCTTTGGCTGGTGTGGCTCAGTGGATTGAATGCCAGTCTGCAAACCAAAGGGTTGCTGGGTCGATTCCCAGTCAGGGCACATGCCTGGGTTGTGGGCCAGGTCCCCAGGAGTGGGTGAGTGAGAGGCAACCACACACTGATGTATCTTTCTCTTTCTCCTTCCCTTTCCCTCTGTCTAAAAGTAAATAAATAAACATCTTTAAAAAAAAGGGAGAAAGAATAATGGGGAAAAAAATATTTAAAAGAATGTGAGGGCAGGCCTAGCCAAGATAGTTATACTTAAACTGAGTATGCAAGGTAATGAAAGCATCTCCAAGAAAAGATGTATAAAAAGAACATTCCAGGTATAGAGATAACAGGTACAAAGGCCTCAGGATGGGAAGGCCTGTCTCTTTGGGATGAATTTTCAGAAGGCTGATGGGGTTAACATAGTAAGCAACATGGAAGGGGTCATTATCATATGACATGTAGAGGTAGGCTAGGTCATGTAGGACTTATTAGGTCCTGCTTAGGAGTTTGTATTTTCTTCCAAAAACTGAAAGGAGCCATTAAAGTGCTTTGGGCAGTGAAGCAACATCATCCAAAGTATGCCTAAAGGACATATGCCTAAACTATGCCTGAAGGACATAGTTTAAATATGCTGTTAAAGTGTTTTCAGTAAATATAGTTAATTCTTTATCTTAAATGTGTTTCTGCCACATCATTTCTCAATCATTATTTTTACTCTCTTCAGAATTTCCTGGCTCTTTGTGCCAGTAATTACTACAATGGCTGTATATTTCATAGAAATATAAAGGGCTTCATGGTTCAAACAGGAGATCCCACAGGTAAGTTCCTCCATTAAAATATAGAGAAGTGGTATATAGTGTGAAGAGGGGGGTAGACAAAGAATAGAAAAATGAAAGCATGTAGAGTTTTTCTAATTGATCTACCTTATAATAACAAGCAATTTTTAAGCTAAAGCTACTAGCAACTAGCTCTAAAATATGAATAATATTCATAAGGAGAGTTTTTTTATAGAGACATTTTATTTTTCTGGTTTATAAAATGAAATTTGAGGAAGAGTGGACTTATCTAAATGGTAATGGGAAAGAATACAATAAAAAATAAACTTAAAGAGAGAGGACGAGTCACATTTTATTTGTATTTAAAGAGTTATACTTTAAACCAGCCCTTAAATTTTAGGAAATAAACCCATTCTATAATTAGATACTTGTGTTATTTGTTTTGTAATACAGGTACTGGAAGAGGAGGTAACAGTATCTGGGGCAAGAAATTTGAGGATGAATACAGTGAATATCTTAAGGTACGTCCCCAATGCTTCAGAATTATTTTCTCATGCCATCTATACATTTGGAAACTTTGATACATATGTTGTTGCAACACAAGGTAACATCATTAGTGAACAGATATACATTTTTTTTGTAGTTTCTGCACACTTGATAAATGATATCAGAGAAAAAATATAAATAGCATATCTAGCCTAAAATATATTCTGGAGTCTCACCATCACATGGACCTTGATATTAAGTGAGCTCATCTTTGGGTCCAGCCTGAAATGTTTAATCAGCAATATATTGTACTGAAGGTACTTAATGTCTCACTGTAAAATTCATGTTGAATGACACGAACCATTAGCCTTTTTTGAGAGTGGGGAGGAAAGACTATCAGACCTTCTGGTTGCAATATTGCCGTTATCAGTCTCCAACTTTTATCATCAGCTGTTGGATGTTTGAATATTCCTTTATTAATGTTACTTAATGTCTGCAGTAGAGCTCTGTGAAATTAAAGAGAAGTGTATATAAATATTTATCACATTAAAATTAGGGATTTTTACTGTCTTTATCATATTTTTTCTAAAAAGTTTTTCTTTTTTTTTTTTTAAGATTTTATTTATTTATTTATTTTAGAGAGAGGGAAAGGGAAGGAGAAAGAGAGGAAGAGGGACATCAATGCGTGGTGGCCTCTCACTTGCCTCCCAGTGGGGACCTGGCCTGCAACCCAGGCATGTACCTGATTGGGAATCAACCCGGTGACTCTGTGGTTTGAAGGCCCATGTGCAATCCACTGAGCTATGCCAGCTGGGGCTTTCTAAAACTTTTAAAAGAATTTTCTTGTATTTTTTTCCTAAAGTTAAAAAAACAATGCATGCCTATTTAAAAAAAAAATCAGTTCAACTTCCCAGAGATAATATCCATTAACACTTGACTATGTGGTCTTTTAAACTTAGCATTTCTATAGAATGGTAATTTTATAATTAGAAAAAAAGCAACAAATTCCCCTCAATCAGTAATTTAGCATATTATATTTCAGTTACATTAAAATATACCCGGGACATTTTCTGGAAAAAAAAAAAAATTATTGCAGTCTTTATCTCTGGATGATCAGACTAGGAGTAATTTATTTTATGTTTTTGCTTTTCTGTTATAAAGAAATACTACCTTTGTTATAGGAATTGAGGTTGGAAGGTGGTAAATTATTTACAAAGTCATCCTTTTCCTGAATTAGAAAGAAAACATTTTAGGCACTAATTAATGACAGCTTTCATAACACTAATCTGTAATCCTATACCAGTGGTTTTCAACCTTGGCTGTTACAGACTCAGCAGTAAGTTTTAAAAACATAACAAATTAGGGCCTTATCTACTCTTCCTCATGAATATAGAGAAAAATAGTCAGTAGGACTGATTAGGACCTTAATTATATGTTAAGGTTCTCTGTTAATTCTCACAACATCCAGGATTAAGAATCACTTATTTATATATCAGAGTTGAGGATGTGTTTTTGAATATTTACATACCCTGACCCAGCAATTCCTTTCCCAAGTCTTTACCCTAGAAAACGTGTGTATGTGCATCAGGAAAGACGTAAAAAAGTGTTCCTAGAGTAGTATTTTAATGGCAAAAAGCTAAAAACAACCCAAATGTCTGTTGATCATAGAATGGACAAATTGTAGTATATACAGGAGTGAAATATACAGCAGTAAAAAAAATCAGAACTACAGCTATATATACATGTAGGAATCTTAGAAACATAATAATGTAGAGAATATTGCCTTGAAGAATACAAATAGTATGATACTATTTTATAGGGCTCAGAAACAAGGAAAAGGAAACAATACAATTGACCCTTGAACAATGTAGGGGATAAGAGTACCTATACTCCTTGTGTAGTTGAAAATCCATGTATGACTTTTATCCCTTAGTATCCATGGGGCATTGGTTTTAGGATACTCCTACTCCACCCCTGTGGATACCAAAATCCAAGGATGCTCGTCTCTTATATAAATAAAGTAAGGGACTGTATGTGTACAATGCATAGAGTTCTTTCTCCAAATCTACAGACTCCCAACTGCAGATTTAAGAAAATATAAGTGAATTCACATAATTCAAACCCATGTTCAAGACCCATTCAGGAATCAAGTGTATATTATGTAGGCATATAAAGATATTAGAATAGTGGTTTCTCCTTGGAGAAGCTAAGGTACTACATGAGAGGAGCACAGAAACATATGCAGGTTTACTCAATCTTAATTCTTAAAGCGTAGAAATAAGTTAATGGTACTTGCTTTATTACAAGTGGTATATATAGTCTTGTGTGTATCAAAGGTTACATTTGATTGGTAGTCACCTTTTAAGGAGACAATAAAGCATTAATATCTTGATGTAGCTGCATCTATTATACATTGATATTGCTAAAAGTCTTGTACTTCTCCAAAGCGAAAATGAAATTAATTGGGGAATACATATCTCTGTTGCTTGTCTCATTAGTGTCCCTGGTAAATAACTAAAGATGGACTAATCATTGAAGTTATTTATAGTGTATTTTTATATTGAGGCACCTCCCTATAACATGGGTCTGTCATGTCTTCAATCTTACCAGTAAAGTCTTTTAATTCCTGTATACAGTCCCTTGTACAACAAATAGTATCACAAATATTGAGCTGGAAGAGACCTTCCTTCCATCATCTAGTCCTGGGGTTATGAACTAACTGCCAGTGGGTGGAAGACCCATAGATGCATTCTCTCTGGCCATTGGTTAAAAAACATTTTTTTAATGCCATTAGGCAGGAGATATATTATTCCTCTAGCCACACTCCATCACTCCCTAGTGTTTACATTCTGCCCACTTATCAATTCATTATCTGCTGACCCTCATGAGCATTTAAGTTACGAATAAACCCCACAACTAGCCCAACCTCCCTTGTTTTACAGATCAAGAAACTAGCCAGAGTCCAGTGTATGTGTGAAGAGATTATGGGGATTTTGGTTTTATTGTCTGCCTGATCATTTCATACCAGCACACTGTCCCTTAATATAAATGTAAGGATTATTTCTATTATACATTGGTATTACTAAAAGTGCTTGTGGCTATACTTCTCCAAACTGAAAATAAAATTAATTAGGGGATATGATTTGATATAGAAACAACTTACACATAAGTTTTTGGAAATAACAATAATATAGCAACTGAACATTTGCGTTTGCCCAAGTAGAAGCTGATTTAATGTTTTCTTGGTTCCTTAAATATTGGGAAGTTAAAGAATGCACATCTTGTTTTATTTCTGTACTTGGAATATTTATTTAAAATACAAATTAATACTTTGGTCTAACTTTTTCAGCACAATGTTAGAGGTGTTGTATCTATGGCTAATAATGGCCCAAATACCAATGGATCTCAGTTTTTTATTACCTATGGCAAGCAGCCACATTTGGACATGAAATACACAGTATTTGGAAAGTGAGTATTCTGGTTATGGTTTTCTTTGGAATTTCATTATAAGAGATGCATATGAGTGGCTGTGATAGTAGCATAACTAATATTGAAAGAGCAGTATGAGAACTAAACATAGCTGGAATTTAAGACCACCACTTACCAGCCCTGTGACCTTGAGAAGTTATAACTTTGCTGCACCTCAATTTCTTGATTTCGTAAAAGAGAGGTTAATAATTTTTTAAGATTCATTATGCAAATTAACAGTATTGTGCCTGTTTTCACTGAGAATAGCATTTTGCAGCAACTAAGATCTGAAAAACAGGGGCTTAAACAAGATGGACTGGGGTGGTGTCACCAGTGTTCTAGGGGCCTCTGTCTTTCTTCTCAACCATCTTTATCTTCTACCCAAGCTGACCACATGGTCGTAATACGGGCAGCCCAGCTCCAGAACATCTGTGTTCCAGGCAGACTGAAGGAGTAAGGGCCAAAGGTGCCTGCCCAGCTGAGTCTGCCCCTTTTTAAAGACTTTTCTTAAAAGACCCAGAACTTTGCAATGTGGCCATCCTTACCTACAAAGAAGAGTAGGAAATGTTTTTCAGCCAGACTCTCAATGAAATGAGGTTTCTGTAAGAAGGGGAAACTGGATACTAGGGAGGTATTTAGCAATATCTGGCAGAATATCCATTATAAAGTTTACTTGGGAGCTGCATTTATAAGTCAGCAGGCAGTCAATTTCTCTGTTGATTCAACAAATACTATACTCAACAAACTAAGGTACAGTTCTAGAGTTTGTTTTATTTAATAATTTGAATGCCAAGTTAGGCTAATTAAAAATAGAAGACTACAACTTTCTTTTTCATTTCATATTCATGTCTAATTTAGATTATTAATAATTAATGAAATATTACAGCCCATAGAATTCTTTGTATGTATGTAGGTAATCCACATTCCCTTCCTTTTATTTTCTCCCTTAACCCACTGTCAGAATTACTGATCAGTAATTACCAGAACTTACCTTACTGGATTTGTGACAAAACTGTAGGGTTTAGAACAAAGATTCTTAACCTTAGGTCCACTGACTTCTTGAGATTGTATGTTTTGTGTATATGCACACACACTTTTCTGGGAAGATGGTATACAGCTTTTCACTAGTTCTTGAAAAGGCCATGTCCCTGTTACTTGACTTGACTTAGCTCAGTTTGCATGCTCTTGTGTGCCTGAGATCTGTTTCCTATATCCTTTGTTTCTCTCACTGACCTACAAGGTGGGAAAGCCTTTAGAACTTATAATTTAAAGGCCTTAATTGTCATACATTTGGGAGTAAAATCAAAAGGTTTTGGTTACAGTGCCATTTTAGTGGAATCCCAGTATTAAATGTAAATACATAATACACATATAGTTCGAGAATTGACTTGAGTTTTACTAAGAGGTACAATCTAAAACGCCACCTTTTCTTAAGCAAATGTGTTAAACTAACTTGAGAATATATCTGAAGGCTAGCTCTCAATATTTCTTTTTCTTAATGGAAATATGAAGGGATCTTACGGCAAATAGGCTTAACTGTTCATCTTCTCTCTTCCTATTTTTATTACTATTGCTTTTTCTTACTGTATAAAAGCAAAAATTCAAAACACCATATTTAAGCAATCAAGTGCAAAGTGGCCACCCACTTAAAGACCTTCAGTTTAGGGCAGTATTTATAATAATAGTGTCATCCTTACATACTTTCTCCAGGTATTTCCTGTAGCAAAGAAAATCTGACTAGTTATATTGGCCCCATGGTAGCTATGTTGTATAAATGGGGCAGAATACAATGTTTAGGTACTTTGGTGGGAATATTCCTACCCATTCCTATTGTTGTCTGAGGGCATAAAAATGAATTTTTATTTTTATTTCTGAATTTTGGCCCATATCTGTGGTAGATAATCAAATCAATATTTTATTGTACACTCAACTAGGGAATTCAAAGAACTATGAGACATGGTCCTTTTTTCTTAAGGACACTATAATTGATATAGGTATTAGGATATTGTGTTTCAATCTGAGAAAAATTTCATTCATTATCTTGTTTCTCTTTCAGGGTAATAGATGGTCTGGAGACTCTAGATGAATTGGAGAAGTTGCCAGTAAATGAGAAGACATACCGACCTCTTAATGATGTGCACATTAAGGATATAACTATTCATGCCAACCCATTTGCTCAGTAGCTTTAATAGACATGGACAAATGCTTGCCAAACTCTTTGAGGAACACACCTGTTGTGGTTTACCCAGTTTTAATTATGTCATAGATTGCATCATCCTACTTGTTTACAACTAAGGTCTTCTGAGTTAGTGGTACCAAAAGGAACCAATTAGCTTTTATTCCCACTCTTAGAGCATATTCTTTACTATAACTATTATCCAATGTATTTTAGTTTTTTTTTAAAAAATTCTGTTTAATTTTTGTTACATAAAAACATTCATTTTTAAATGCTGAGCCTCAAATCAGTCATTTTGAGCGCCGTAATTATAAACTCCTACTATATCTAGTCCACATCGTGAAGTATTATTTTCCATTCGTTGTTCACTTTGTGCAGTTAGAAAGAGGAAGGACAAGATAAAGAGAGGGTCTAGAAAGGCCAGCCAATACATTTGCTATTTTATTTGGTGTTCGGATTTATAATAAAGGCTGAGATATCCTAGACTCCAGTAAACACACAGAATTTCCCAACTGATTTGCCCATGGAACATTTTTTTAAAGCATATCTTTTAAAATATTGCACAATAAAGCTCTACAGATGATCCATTTGAAAAATGCAATAAGTTTGTTAAGAATACCATTTGTAGAGTCCTGGTATATGTTTGAATCATAGCTCTGTACCCTAGTAGTAGCTTTAGGCAAATTAACATCTCTAAGGTTTAGTTTTCTCATTCATAAATAATTCCCCCATAGACTATTGTGAAAATTGAAAAAAAAAATAATGTGTGTAAAGTTTCTGGCATGTACTGAGTGTTCTGTATTAAGTAAATGGAAGCTGCTCTGCTAACATTTCACCTTGACCAGAGGGCTCTTACCTAACCAGGGCATTTATCAGACTCTACCATTGAGTTGATCAAGGACCATGTTCCACTTACTGCCTAGGTTACCTTAAATTTTGGGTATTCCTAAAACCAAACATATTTTGGTTTGTGTCATTTTTGCAGATGGCTTATTTAAATGTTTTGGGTTTTTTCTTTAGAGTTTGAGAGTTAACTTGTAGCTGTCCTCTTGTTACCATTTACACATACATTCCACTAAACTGAAGTGCCAATTATACTAATGTCTCATATTTTGTTTCAGCCTTGTAATTATTTTGGTTTCCAGAATTAGTATTAAAGGCCATTTTAGGCCAGAGTTTGTTTTGCCACTTCTAATCCCTGATATCTTCTCCAAACATGTCATTGAAGTTTTTGTCATCACTTTTAAAAGGCTTTTCCTGATTCTGCACTGACTGGCATTCTCTCAATTTTTATTCTAAATCCTGCCATTTTTAAAAGTAGTGTCAATATGGTCATTTTTGGGTTATTAGAGCTCATTCTTATAAAGTCAGCTCAGTTATACCCATAAGGATCTCATACATAGGAAAGTATATTGCCTGCCCACTGTAGGCATGGTGAGAATCAAGATCAAGAATGTTGCTTTCTGTTCACTCACACTGAGTTGACTGGTTCACACAAATCACATTAGCATTTGCTGACTGATGTTCTGTTTTGTGTATTTAATAAACTACTAAGACTAGAATATTGCTAATCAACCAAAATTTTCTTTAAAAGGAGAGAAATATGGTTCCCCGCCTAGATCAGAGGTTGGCAAAAAACAGGCTGGCCACCTGTTCTTGTACATCAACAACCTCTTCTTGAAACTCAGTCCCATTCATGTATTGTCTGGCTGGCTCCTGCTACAACAGAAATATTGATTGGTTGTGACAGAGACCAAATGGCCCTCAAACCCAAAATATTTACTGTCTGACCCTTAAGGAAGTTTGCCAACCCCCTTGATCTAGACTGTCAAGAAACTGGGAAGCCCTGGCTGGTGTTACTCAGTGGACTCAGCACTGGCCTTTGAAGGCCTGCGAACTGAAGGGTGGCCAGTTTCCCAGTCAGGGCACATGCCTGGGTTGCAGGCCAGGCCCCCAGTAGGGCGCAAGATAGAGGCAACAATTGATGTTTCACACGTTGATGTTTCTCTTCCTTTCCTCCTCCCTTACCCTCTCTAAAATGAAATAAATCTTTAAAAAGAAAACTGGGAAAAAAAGGTGTGACCAGGGTTTTGTCTGAGGCTTCTCTAGCTTGTAGATGTCCGTCTGTCTTCACAATGTTATTCCCCGAGTCCTAGTCTAGACACCAGTCATACTTGATTAGGACCCACCTTGATGACCTCATTAAACCTTATCTGTAAAAGCGCTGTTTACAAAATACAATCACATTGTGAGATAGTAGGGATTGATTTAAAATTATTAATTGGGGGAACATAACTCCCCAAACACTTAGCCCATACATAACGTACACTAAAGAACACACTTTTTCTTGTTTCTAGCACTCACAAATAACTTTAAAAATACTCATTTGAGAGAGGAGAAAGGGAGAAAAACATCCGTCCATTGCCTCTGACACACCCCAACTGGACACTGAACCTGCAACCCAGTCATGTGCCCTGACCCGAACCAAACTGCAACCTTTCGCGGGAGGACGCCTAATCCACTCAGCCACACCAGTCAGGGCACAAATACAACTTTTAATGAGCACTGGGGGGAAAGATTCTTGCCCACAAACCTCGCACTGTTGTCCCATCATTCCCAAACCGACCTAGGCCAACAGGGTCCCAAGTCGCCAACTCCCCACTGTCAACAAGTAGCTCAGGTTCTACTCCACCCCCAACTCCTGCGCTTGCGCACACCCGGCCACCGCGCGCCCGCCCACGCCCTCCCGCGCGCACGCCCCGCCCCAGGGCGGGGACGCCCTCTTAGCGTCACCAGTGTTTTCGAGAAGAGTCCTGACGCGGCGGCTGTCAGCTCCATTTTGTTTTCCCAGCCCGTTGCAGCCAGCTGGAACTTCGACGTTGTCGCCTTGCAAGCTTTGTCTCCTTCGGCTCGGACGCCGCGGCCAGGACGGTAAGATGCAGGAGGAAGCGGGCTAGGTGTCAGGGCCTTATGTCTGTCTCCAGAGCGCTTGGTGATGCCCCCTATCCATGCTTATTGGCCGTCCGCAGTCTCCTGCACGACGACCCTTTTTTCTTGCCTCACTCTAGCTCTGTCGAGCTTGTCGCGAATTTCTGCTTTAACCTCGACGTCCCAGACACTGGCTTAGGGTAGTGATACTGCTTGCGAGGCGGGAAGCGCTCCTCGAATGTTCGGCCTCTTCTAGGGTGTGGAGGGAGGGCTGAGCCCGGGCGCCGCGGGCGCCATCTTGTCTGCGGTGACCACCTCCGCGGAGCCCTAAGATGGCGGCGGGGCGGAGGCAGCGGCGAAGCTGCTGCTTTGCTTGGGTTGTGCGTGAATTACTCTCCTGTGAGCAACTGGGTTCCTTTCAAATGGAGACAAAGGCAGAACGAATTGACCTGGTGTGAGGCGATATCACTTAAGGTCTAGCGGATTCTAAAGAGTTAGCGTGAGTGTCGCCACTGTCCCCTCAGTGTTGTCTAGGAACCTGAGGAAAGAGAAATAATAAAGCATTTGACGGGATATGGAATCTGGCATTTCATGCGTTGAATTTTTCGCGCCCCGAGTTGGAGCGTTTTGAGTTCAGAGATGTAGTGGAATCAAATGTAGAGAATTTTGTTCCAAACATTTCTGAAAGATGGCTTCCCCCTCCCCAGATTGGTGTAAGATTGCTTTTAGAATAAGCTAGGTTTTATTTGTAGTACGTGCTGGGGGTGGCCGTCAAAAGACGGTATTTTGTAGTTTTCTAATGCGGTCATTGGCTTAAGGTGTTAGTAGTTAGATCACTATGCCTCTTCTATGGAAATTTTCAATAATGGTAGTTCTGTTGCGAAGAACATTTATGATCGCATGTTATTTGGAGGCGAGTTTTTGATGCACGTTTAAATGGGGAGAATTTGCGTGTGGACGTACAGAAAAGGGAGTACGATTTTTGCCAAAATTGATGAACACGTCACAGCTAGTGTGAGTCTGCAGAATATTGTATTGAACTGCTAGTGCTGATGTGCGGGGTTCTGTAAAACTGGGGGAACTTGTCTTTTACGTAGATGAGACACTCCAAGAGAACTTACTGCCCTGACTGGGATGAGAAAGATTGGGATTGTACAAAATGGAGGAGCAGCAGCAGTCACAAAAGAAGGAAGCGATCACATAGCAGTGCCCGGGAGAACAAGCGCTGCAAGTACAATCACTCTAAAACATCTGATAGGTAAGGAGGACGTTATGTATAGATATATAAAAAAACATTTTTACTACAATCTCATCAGTTGTCTCAATAAAACTGGGGGGGGCACTATTTTCATAATTAAAACTAGTGTCACTTAAAAATAAGTTAACAGTGATTCCTTTTTGTTTCCAGTGATGGCTTGTATTGTTTGTAAGATTGTGTGGGTTTGTGTTTTGGTCAATGGGAAAAACGAGGTTTTGTTGTTGTTTTGTTCTTTTGCGGGGGGGGCGTAGAGAGTAAAGGTTTTATCAGCTCTCCAAGAGAGGAGAAGGGCGTGGTGTGGAGAGATACCAGCAGCTGGAGAAAGAAATTTTAAGAGTATTGTTTACTGAGAATTTGAGGATATTTAGTATTACCGAAAAGCTTTGAAAAACGGGTATTTTATTTTCCTAGCCATTATTTGGAAAGCAGATCCATAAATGAGAAAGATTATTATAGTCGACGCTACATTGATGAATACAGAAATGACTACAATCAAGGGTGTGAATCTGGGCACCGCCATAGGGACCATGAAAGCAGATACCAGAACCATAGTAGCAAGTCCTCTGGTAGAAGTGGAAGAAGTAGTTATAAAAGCAGGCACAGGATTCACCACAGCACCTCACATCATCGTTCACATGGGGTATGAGCTCTTTTAAAACATTTTGAAAGTTTTATCTCCCATGTGATACAGGAAAGCTTTAATTTGTGTTTGATCATTTGAGAAAGTTCTGTTTAAGATGAAGCCATTTCAGTTTTAACTTGCAGGAGTCTTTGTGCATTGGATAAGAAATTCCCCAAGTATGGTACATATTTAGTTACGTAACAGTTTGTTTACTAGTTGGCAACTAATTGTCATTTCATTGAGGGACGTAGGGGGGGTTAATTAAGATTAGTTTATAGCAAAATAGTCTGACAGATTTTTTTATGGTACTTAAATCAGATTTGCTTTGATAAATTGAAGCCTTAGCACAAAAATAGACTGGGCCTTTTATTTTTGAATGATTAAGGATTGGGTGTAACTTCATTCTAGGCAAGCATGTGCTCTAATCCTATTTTTCACTAACTAAGTAAACCACTATACAGATTTGAACATTATGGGATTTGTATTAATTGGGAGATAGCTCAGATGGCATTTACAATGTCATGGTGTTACTGTATGGCAAATTGTTTTTTCTCCCCAAAATTAGGGCTTTAATTTTATTTACTGTTTTAATATTTTGTTTTCTTAGATTAGTTAGGAAATCTTAATTTGGCCACAGCCTACTTTGACAAGTAAATATTACTGCAATTTTGCAATATGTTAGGACACTAGAAACTTAAATTATATTTCAGTGAATGCTACAACCTAAGCATTTTTTAAAGAAACAATTGTGTTATGTTTTGTTGCCTTGCCACTTTGAGTATCTTATCTGAAAATCTGTTCCTTGCCATGTTTTTCTCCTGTTAACATAAACTATGTGCCCTGTGAATTTCTGGGGACTGAATTTGAAATTGCTCCTGCCAACCGTTTGTGGCCTGGCGTGTATCTGAATGCCTGAATATCTCCCCGCTGAATGAATTTCGTATTCTGCCCTGAATTCACTCGGGTATATTGATTGGCTGGATGATCTTGGTGCCGCCCACTTGACGTTTCCAGAAGAGTCACCGAAGGAAAAGAACCAGGAGTGTAGAGGATGATGAGGAGGGTCACCTGATCTGTCAGAGTGGAGACGTACTAAGTGCAAGATGTATAGAATATTTTTCAACACTTATTAACTTTTCAGATAACATAATCTATATATATATAGATTAAGATTTCAGGGATTTGGAAATCTTTTTCTTTCTCTGTTTTTCTTTTCTTTTTCTTTTTATTTGTTTTCTGTTTTTTTCCATTTCTTTTGGTGGTGGGGGGAATTGTTATTTTTGCTTTCTGTAGAAATTTAATGTTATGTAGATCTTCCAGAACAGTAAATCAATTTAAATAAAATTAGCTTTAAGACTGAAATTAGACCTAAAAATAGTTAACATGTTTTTTGACAGTGTTGACCAATGAAATAATGATAAGGACATTTGTAGCATCAACTAGAATAATCTGCATTGATAGCATTTATTATGATAAGTAAAATGTTTTCACTTCTTGGTGTGACTGAGATTTATTTTTCTCTTTTAGATGAAATTGTTAATACTTTAGGTGAAGGAGCTTTTGGAAAAGTCGTGGAATGCATTGATCGTAAAG